GGAAGGCTAATTGGATTGGTCATGTTTTACGCAGAAACTGCCTTCTAAAAGAAGCTATCGAAGGAAAGATAGATGGGCGGATAGAAGTGACAAGAAGATGAGGAAGAAGACGTAAGAAGATGCTGGATGACCTTGGGGACAGAAGAGGATACTGTCATTTGAAGGAGAAAGCTCTAGATCGCATTAAGTGGAGGAATTGTTTTGAAAGAGACTGTGGACCTGTCGTCTTGACAGATTACTGATGATGATGATGATAATCTGTCACCTGTGTGTCACATTATCTTATGTTATTCATTTAGGGCAAAGTGTGTTGTGGATGTTCAGTGTAGAGGTTAATACCTCCTGTGCTTTTAGTTAAAAGGGTCAGTATTCAAATTTGCTTTCAAACTGCTTATTCTGTCTGAATATTTTTTTTCTCTCTTGTGGTCTTCCTTCCAAGCAAATGCCATGAAGTATGTCATGAACTTTGTTTCAAGGCAGTCTCAGTTTTCCCTTATAATCATCCTGTCATTTGATACTGTGCAACTCTTGCATCATTGAACCAAGGAATAACAGATTGCTCATAATTTTATTTCAACTGTTTTCAGCCATCATCAGTATTGGCATGCTTCTGTACATGGCTTGTGACATCCTTAGGCAATCGTATATCAACTGATTTGAAATTGGAATTAAGCTCTGCATTGCAGCAACATGTTTGGTCTGTGCGACAAGTGGAGTCACTCCTGAATGAAACTATTTCTGCAGGTTACATAACAACACTTGCAAGGGGCTTCATGCTTTTCTTGCCTGTAAGTAAATAAAATATTTTATTATTTATAAATATTCAAAATTAACATAGACTGAGGATGTTGAGGAGAATATTTGGACTGAAGAGAGATGAAGTGATGGGAGGTTGGAGAAAACTACATAATGAGGAGCTTCATAACTTGTACTCTTCTCCAAGTGTAATTAGAATGATCAAGTGAAGGAGGATGAGGTGGGCATTGCATGTAGCACAAATGGGGCTATGGGTGGGATGGTATGGATTGGATTGATCTGGCTCGATAGGAACCAGTGAAGGGCTCTTGTGAGCATGGTAATGAATCTGTGGGTTAAAGAATTGTATGTTCTTTCAGGAAAACCCATTATGTGCTTTCACTGAATTTTTAATGGAGAGTGTTGCGAAGAAGAACTTCAAGGGAAGCATCAAGAGCTTGAAAGCATTCAAAGCTCATTGGTTCAGCATGAAGATAAATGTAAGTCTTTCTGCTTTAAATAGGGATTTCACGTACATTTTGCCAAATTCATAAATTTGAGGGGTGGGTAGAGTTGTGTTTAGTATTGTATACAGGCAGGCCTTTATCTGGATCTTTGTAATTTATATTTTCTTTGCCATAGCCAACTGTATTTTATAGTTAGTATAAAAGGAAGAAGCCAGTTAGAGACTGTATGGATTATGATTGATACCTGGTCTTACTAGTTCAGTCACTTCTCCTGATTCTAATAGACAAGGAGCTCAGCTATTTCTACATAAGGAAGAGATGCATATAGTAATAAAACATGCTCAGGATAGGGACCAGTGGAGGGCTCCTGTGAACATGGCAGTGAACCTTCGGGCTCCATAAAATGCTGGGAAGTTCTTGAGTGGCTGCACAATTGGCAGCTTCTCAGGAAGGGCTCAGCTCCATGAGTAAATAAAACGTGTTCAGTATAGAAACCAACTTAATACAAAACTTACAGGAAACTGTCACCTTAAAGGACACTTCTTCAAACTGGGACTAAATGGTAGTCCCATTTGTGAGAGGTGTCAAGAAGAAAATGAAACAGCCACACATGTCCTGTGCGAATGTGAGGCCTTAGCTTATTTAAGATTATGTCACTTGGGTCAGTATTTTATAGAACCAAGTGACTATTTCGATGCCCCCACATGCAAAATCCTACGCTTTATTTGAAGCACAGGATTGTTGAGGGGATAATCAAAAGGGGAAGCACAATAAATCACTGTAGGTCGCGGTGCAAGGACTGAGAAGGCCCACCCCTTATACATTCATTCAACTTAATAAAAATGTTATACACTTGAAGATTATGCCAGTAATGAATACAAATATCAACACAAGAAAAACAGATTACTGTCTGATTAAATGATACAGAAATTGCAAGCGGAGAAGCAAGTTTAAGCAAAATGGTCAAAGATTGTGTTTCTGCGAAGAGTAGTATTTTATGTGCTCCAGATTGTCCCTTAGCAGAACAATGAACACATGTATTTTGAGAGTGCTGCATACAGCAACTAATTTTCTTTTCTATAGTAACATACATAGAATAAACCATTTAAAATTTACATGAACACCATGTGAACCCTGGCTGACTAGCTCCCAGAATAAATCCCATTCAACTATATTAACATTCATGATCACACATGGTGAAATTAGCAGATTATGAAATTGGACACAAACCAGATACCTCATTGTACACCATAAAGTCTCATGTGTTACCAGTACTCAGCACTAGTGAACAGTGTGGGCCCCGCGCCTTGATAGTCCAACAGGCAGGAACCAAACGTAATTATGTAACACAGGCAGCAAGACAAAAATCCAGTTTTTATGCACGTCTCTTGGACTTTGAAGCCAGAGTGGGGTCAAGCCTCTTCAGCCCAAAACGCAGGAAGGAGTTGGATTGGTAAATGAGAAACATGAGTAGGGGTGAGGGAGGAAACAGAGATGATATGAGGATCAGCACATAGAAAGGATAACAAAACAAGACCACCCAAATGAAGAAAAAATATACCAAGCCGACAGGAGCACTGAACAGCTCGTATGTAGCAAAACAGAGAAGTTCTGCAGATTTCTCGGTAGCCAATATACCAGTGTAATGATTTTATGTAACACACACACACGTGTGTGTGTGTATGTGCAAGAGAGAGTGTAAGGGAGGAAGGGAGAATTTCACTAGTGGACCATATTACCAGCATTTGATGTTTTGAAACATCAGAGGCTTTGCGGTATGGAGCACTGTGGTTATGAACATCATCTCATAGTGGCTATTCATTATTTACAGCAATCAGTTACAACCTGTGAAGACTTGGAGGGTACATTCCTCAACAATGGATACTGGGTTGCATCTGTTGCAGTCAGTATGGCTTGCATTGCATTAGGAAAATGCTTCACTTCATCCTATCATCAACTGTTATTTATTACCACACTCTGTGAGTCTTCATTTACTGAACATTTGCCAGGTAATTTACTTTCTACCTCAAGGGCTATCAGCTTATCATGGACAGGAAGTTTATGTTGCCCAGTGACCCAGCGAGCTATGCCAGCAGGAGTGTAAGCTCCTGGTAGGGCCACCCATGCCAGACAGATTATAGGGGTAGGGGGCCAGAGCAAGCGTAGTCGATTCACACCAGGTTGGGGGTTTGGCATGGGAATAGCAGCCCCAACCTGGAAAAATTGCTGTTACGAATCCTCCAGAGTCTATGGAGGAGCACCGTGGTGCAGAACAACACTCACACAAGGTTGTAGTGCCAGGAACGAACAAATATTTACTTTCTTCAGGTGCTGATGTACACTGCTGTAAATGTTACTGAGCAATTTTTTTTTTTTTCATTTCATGCATCCTGTGGTGTTATAATGTACAGTTTCTCTATTAAAACTGTCACAACCCAACTATATTAAGGTCAGTGCCTAGTTTGGCTCTGCTACATGTTTCGCCTATTAACCTTTATCCTACGGCCCTTTAAACTTAGGTTGTGGCAACGGTACGGAGTTCTTTAAATGGCCGCTATTTGAGATTCGTGAAAATTGTAGTCACTTACTAATTTTGCTCCTATTTCTGCTATTTCTGTGATAATCGAACGAAATAAACGCTGTTTTTTTCTCGAAAGAATATAGAATCAGATATTGTAATTTACAGATTGTATAAAACATGTTAAAATTTTTGCACTGACACCAAAGGAGAATTTTCGCAATTTCTTGTTTCTGAGCAAGAATTCATACGTTCTGGACACCCCTGAATGGAAGTTGCTGATGACGACACTTGTGCATGTCACGGTAACACCGGATGTTGAGTCTAGAGACGTTATCGCAGTCTATGTGACGAGCTTCAACTTGAATGTGGTCAGTGGAAGAGAGATATAAACTCACGTGTTGTTTATAGATCTCTCCTGAACAATACGTATACTGTTCTTCTACAGTTCCATGCTAGCATTCTTTATGCATGCGTTGTCGTTGCCGTACTAACACAGCGTAATAGCTTAGTGGCTGGACGTGTTCAGTCGAGAGTAATTTCAAATTTCGTTCGTAACATGTGGTCCGTGTCGTTTGGGATATTCTGACATATTGCAGCTAATCAATGCCTCCGATACAGAATCCTGTACCGACAATTCTGAGAGTGACGTTGAAGGTAGCAAATCATAAAGTGATTTCGAAGAAGACCCATAATCTTCGTCGGCAACCTGGGGAGCACGACACCAGCGTGGCACGAGGAGTGTGAATAATTATTCAGATGGAGCTGTGGGCAAACTGTGGCAAACAGTTATAGCATCTGTCGTCGAACCTGGAAATGGACAAATAAGCTATTTCTCCATCTCCTTGGTCTGAACAGTTACATCCTGTTGTCACACAGAGAATTTCGTCTCGCTCTTGTGCGGAACATGCTGTTAGGGGTCCCCCTCGCCATCAACGGCCAGGGGTCGAACCCCTGCCGTTTTATGGGAGATATCTCGACTATAGAAGGCCAAACCACATCACTGGCCGACTTGCTATACTTCGCAATTGAGGTGTCGTGTGTGCTTTTCGCGTGGGACACGAAAGACCGCCCGGACAAAGTGCGTGAATTGCGAAATCGGACTCTGCATTTCCGGATTTTTTGAGAATTCCACACGAAGGCAACATTCCGGCAGATGATGCAGGCGGGAAGACAGACACTCCATGCAGATGGTGGCCAAAAATTATGTAAGTAGGACATAATTTTCTACTTTAAAATTTAATTTTATATAACGTTGCCACGCGCGGACTCTGCGACACCATATGTAGTCATTCGTGCCGGTGACTTTCTTTTAAAGACGACATACGTTGTCTTTAGTCGTTTAAAGGTTAAAAGCCATCATCAGGCAGATACATGGCTAACATATATACACCACTGAACTGCAGTACTAATAATATTGGATACAATAATATTAATTATCTTAAAATACTTGGCATAAAATACAATAAATTAGATTATATAAAATAAAAGTTATAGTATAAAACAAGAATAAAAATTCTTCGTGTGATGCTTTGCATCGTCGAGTCAGTTGTTGGTTTTTGTGATTTTGTTGTGTTCCCACGGACAAGTTGGAGTCCATGTATCTGCCTGATGATGGCTTTTAATAACTGAAACATGTAGCAGAGCCAAACTAGGCACTGACCTTAATATAGTTGTGTTGTGATGGTTTTAATAAAGAAATTGTTACTGAGCAAGATGGCTCAAACAGTAATGTTTCCTGCTTGTATTTGAGAGGTGCCCATTTTCAATTTTGCTCACTATATCAGTTACCCTGATTGAGGTTTTTATGATTTTACTCCATTTCTTCAGGCAAATGACAGGACAGTAGCTCAAGTTAGGCCACTACTGTTTCCTTCTTCCACATCCTGTCCAGTTCACTGGTCACCAATCATCTTACCATTAGACTCTGTGATCTGATGACTACATTACTAAGTAATACATATTTTTGTTTGTTCTTTGCATAAATTATTATTTATTAATATAAATTATTAAATAATTGGAATTCAACACAAAATATTGTGCAATGAATATGACACAATGTAGTCTGGCAGAAGTTTACCAGTGTTTCAGAAGAGGTGCTGCATTCCTCCAAAATGTCAGTAAGCTCCTACCAAACTACACGGTATCACATCCCAGAAGATAGTATTGTTCATAATCACCACCGTGAGAACCACAGTCCTTACATTGTTGGGTGAATTTAACTCTGCATTCTTGTATGTTCTTTGACTCCCATCATTTTTTGACCTTTCCAACATAATTCTTTTGGAACAGGCCATGTGAAGGAATTGTATTCGTGCATTGAAGTTTCCAAACTGACTTTGGAATTTCATATACATAAAGTAATACTATATGGTTTATAACTACCCAAACACTTACCAAAGGTACTATAAAAGTAAATACAAATGAAAAGAAATCAAGCCATAATGTAGTGTAAGATCTGACCCCTCCCACCAGACACTTCATAGCAGTCTTCAAGAATTGCCCTCATGATCCATAGTGGCACAAATGTAAAATTATACATAACGCAAGAAACGTTATTTATCTCATATTGGACATTTGGGCAATATTATACTTCTTGATGTAAATAGAAAAAATGGTAGTTATTTTAAGTTCCAAAACTTCTGATTGGCTTTCAGTAGACATTTTAATCACACAGTGAATGTTATTATCATCAAGCACGGGGAATTTTCTTATTTGCTGGTGCATAAGGGGGTGAGGAGCTGTAGTCTTGCATCTCTGGACTCTGAAGATAACCAAGTGCAAATGCTCTGTTGCCTACAGAGCATACACTGAATGGTGGCTGTGTGGGCTTCACACACACAGGACCCAAAATGAACTAGACAAAATGGAATGTAGGGTCTCTATTAGCTGAGGGAAACAGTCTTGGGTATGATGTGTGATCTGTTTGGCTACAGTTCCCGAACATACATTGGAGATTGTGTTTGTGGTTTGTGTGATGGCAAAGACTTCTGTTCTCAGAATCTGTGCTGATGTTCAGATGCTGGTAATTGTGTAGATTACTGTTGACTGGGATGTGACACCATGTAGTCTCATAGTTCATTATCACCATTTCAAGAGATCATGTTGTGGCCATCATCAGGATACTGAAAGCTTCACATTCCAAGTGACAGTAATCATCTATCCTAGAATTTGCTTAAAATGACTGAGAAAGTGCATGAAGTAGCTGAAGATCACAAATTTTGGGCAGGATTAAAACAAGAGCCTCATAAATTCAAAGAATGATTGCCAGCTATCATGTTGCACTCCCAGGAGGTTGGTTGTCACTCGGTAGAGTGCTTAGGTCAGCTGTCCATTGACTGTCTGCAGTGTTTGGCTCCTAATCTGTACGTTTCTATGAGGGTGTGTTCTAATTCCACTTCTTTCATATTGTGTTCAGTGAGGCATAACATGTGGAATAGCTGTATACAGGGAATTTATTAGTTCTTTTCTTTTGTTTTTTAGTCCTCGTATATTTTGGTGGAATACTTTTCATATCCTATGTTTTGTTGATTTTGTTGTAATACTGGTTCTGTTTATGACTCTGTTTGCTTGATTTATTTTACTATTTGGTAGGTTAGCTTCTTTTGTGACCATTGTTGCCCGGGTAGTTTTGTTATAACTAGTTTGCTGAGGGTAGTGTGCCTTCCTGTCATTAATTATTAGATTACTCTCTTTGCTAGACCAGTTGACCATAAAAAATCATCTTTCTTTGTTATTGGATGTTTTCTGCATGTGCCAGACGTCTGGGCTTCGGTTTCTTTTTGCTCTAATTCGTCATCACTTTTCCTGTCTAACGTGTTCTGAACAGGGCTCAGATCCGTGGAGTCTTCTTTCCATTTCAAGCTGATGGGGGGTGGCCGTTGTCCCGTAAGAATTGATTTTAAATTTTCTAATCCAGTTTTTTTTTAATACAAGTTCTTGTCCTAGTCTATTCATATGTAGTCCATAGTGGGTAAAGCATTCTCTTTGTAAGTTTGTCTCCATTGCTTTTGCATAGTCATACATTTTCATTTTCTTGAATAGTTTCCTGTTAAACACTTCTACTTCTTTGTTTATACAGGATGTTGTGTCTAAATCATGTCACTGAGTAAATGAAAGCACATACTCAGAAGTACTGTAGCACTTGTTTTTTATTTGTATGTGGGCAGTGAATGTTCCTGACTTCCACCTCCTGGCTCAGCTGGCAGAGTGTCTGTCAGGAAGTGGCCTGCACGCAGACTGGGCTTCCCTCTGTAAGAATAAGACCTGCTCAGAATACCAAGCAGAATTGCAGCATTGCATAGATCAGCTCACAGAAGTTGGCAGATACCAGCAGGGCATTGAGTTTGTAACTCTTGTAGGACTGCCTAAAGATTGTGTTATGATTGCTCAGGTCAGTGTCACATATGCATTGTGTGTTCATCGTGTGGCAAAAGGGATCTGTTTCCTGAAAGTGAATATTCCTTAATTAAACTTGAATTTTCTGTTAATTTAAAGGAAATAGAGGCATGATTACCCAAGATATATAATGATGGATGAAGGTATAGTACATACAAATACCTGCATATTTATTTATTTAGTATAATGAACTAAATACCCTCAACTCTCGATTATCCGGGATAATGGTGGGGATGGAAATCATGATTAATCAAAAACCCAGTTAAGACAAATTTTATTAAAAGTAGTACTGTAATACTGTACCTTCATAATACTATAGGCCTACCTGTATTTAAATTTATTCAACCTCATTTTTATGTCACCTCATGGCCTATTTAATACTTTTTTTTACATTACACTGAAGTATGAATTAGTTATTTCAATCACAGCGTTCAACGACATTCAACACTTTTTATGAATATTCACACTTAACACTTAAGAAAATTTAATATTGTCGTTTGCTTTTTCGCAGCATTTTCCTTTTTACGGATATCTGTACGAAGCCTGCGTAATATTAGCTTGTCACTTAATAATCTGTTCTCTTCACTCTCAAGATAGTCTAGTAAGGATTCCAAATGATTAAGAGCAGCACCATGTGATATTTTCTTACTAGCAGCACTGTCCACCTCTTCCTCATTCTCACTTTCTTTCCACTCTTCTGGCTGCACCCCCACAGAACTTACGATTTCGTCACTGCTTAACATTTCGAAGCCCGGCTCACACGAGTTTCTGTTGAATACTTAACACAACACACTACCTTTTACACCCTGACATTTTGCTAATGCACTTGAAGATCGATACAAAGAGACCAACTGGGGCGGTGTATCTGTCCTTGAAACTTTCCACAAATCCTTGCATTCTTTCACCCATACCCTAGAACATTGTGTTAGCATAACAGGACCAAAAAATGCAGAGCTCGGTTCACACTAGTGCGAAAATAGTGTTACAACTCACCCTGTGAAACAAAAGTGAATGAATATTAAACAACATATAAGCCTCAAAGAAGAACCCAGTAGCCCTGGTTAAGCCACAAACCGGTTTATCCGCCCCTGGATAATCGAGTGTTGAGTGTAATACTTTTCATGTTTATATCATTAAAATCCCTATAGATATTTTTTATGGTTACAGGAAATCCTTATGGCAGGTGTTATCCAGTAGTAACTCTCTCAGTTACTTTTTTGAGATGAAAACTTGTGTAAAATATTCTTAGATAGTTACTCAGAATCATATTAAATAACAAATCTACATCCATGTTATCATTCCTAAAAATACTGTCCCAGTATTCATAACTTAATGAAATTTTAAAATCTTCTATAGAATATTGTCACGTGTTTAGTGTATAACGCGACAAATAACTTCACGCTGTATTTGATATAGCGAATTTATTCCACTCGCTCTTACAATCACACAATTTACAGATTCACAATTACTGCTATCTGCAGTATCTCAAATATTACACTGCAAATGCTAACAATTGACTGGTTGACTTCCTGACTAACTCATAACTCGAGAACTAACTCATGAATTCATAACTCAAGAACTTGAGAACTATAACTCGTGAACTCGAGAACTTGAGAACTAACTGTGAGTAGTCTTCGCTGCTCCTTATTTAGCCTCGTCCCGGACAACACAGAAAACAGCCACGTAATAGGCACCACTGTTGTCTGGCGCCGTGTTGCTAGCAACGCTGTCAGGAGTTGTTTCCTGCTGTGTAGCAACGGCAGCATCCCGTGTTACATCACCGTGGGGAGAGGCGGGGTAGGGGAAGGAGTGTTGACTCGCCTGCTACCCTAGTAACGACAGCGCTCTGATGGTGTTACGTCACCGCTGGCGGGGGAAAGGGTGTCCTGCATAGTGCAACACGTCACAATATTTATGAGTGTTTCTAATAATGTAGGTGTAATGATTCGATAATTGTGGATTTACATCCTTTATTATTTGCAGTTTAATATCATAATCTGAGAACCATAAGGGACACACAAATCTTGGGCAGAATGAGAAGTTTTAGTATGTTAAGGCAGGTGGTACATATAGCCACCACTGGGTGTTGAAGGGTTAAACCCTCTGTTGTCATCATTTTTGACCTTGGCATTAGATAGAGGTGAGTGGTCAGCTTTATACCCTGGTTGCATGTATGTATTAAAAAAGAGACAAGAAGAAATATACAAAACAAAAAAAGGCCATGTATGTATAGAATATACCTATATGGCTACAATTGTAATTATTGAAATATTAATATAGTTCAAGCTTATGTAACCACTAACAAAAAACATCATGGCTAAGGAAAGTGAAAAGAGACATATAAAGCAGTAAATGTGAACAAGCAAATGCTTTCAGGAGCACCAGGGGAAAGTGGTCAGCTGATGTTGTAACCAGAAAACACTTCAAACCTGGCAGAGGTCGTGGAATTTTTAAGGGCGGAAAAATTCAGGGTACAAGTCCTCTGGGAGATACTTTAAGCCGTGGGTCCCGTGCCGTAGATTTACACCGTGTAAAAGATCCTCATGTCTCTAGGAGACCTCTGAGCTAAATTAGGCAACAAGTTTCCCGCCCAAGTAGTTTCCAATGCCTCTGGTAGATGGGGGAAATATCAGGTACTGAGGGCTGACCTCGTTGGCTGAACGGGGCTGATAGCACGCACCAGTACCGGTAGGGTATGGCGACAGTAGAAATTAAAGGGGGATGCACAATGGACCAATAACTGGTCTAAGTGCATGGGGAAACCCACCTCCTCTAATAATAATAATAATAATAATAATAACCAGAAAACACTCTGAAGTTGAGAGCGGTGTGTATCAAGCAGATTTGGACTGCCCCAACCGAATATAATTCAGAACAGAACACCAACATTCTGGTGCATCCAAACCAGTGTTTTGACTGGATGCCCTCAACTGGCTTGTTGTTGCTACAGTTCAGTCCAGGCCATGAATGCAGCTCCCATGCGCACACAGGTAGGGGGAAGAAAGGAAAACATCTGTGTTAGAGTTGTCGGGGAAGGCACTGGGATGAATTGAAAGCATAGGTACCAGTTGAGTCTGAGCCACTGCACAGATCAAACCCATGACAGTTAACCAGTTTCAAGATAAAAGTCATAATTTTGTTCTTGGTATGTTACAGTGGTCACATGAATTCGAGAACCAAGATCACATGGTGAGCCACCAGTCAGAAGGTGATGGTACTGCTTTTTGGTACAGATGCCAACAAGCATTTCGTGAAGCTGGAATTAGTCCTAAACGTGCTGTTGATTTTTTCAAAGAACACTCAGAAAAGGCATCATCACATAAAGAGAGGTAATTCATATATAATGAAGCTACAAACTTTATAGTATTTCACTATATTATCTTTAAAACAAGGGGGTAGGGTGAGATTCTTCATGTCCAGATCAAATTTTACTGAGGTGAGATTTCAGTTCTCACCATCTTGACTATGCAGATGGCTGTCCACTAGGATATGGCCCTCTGTGGTCTCAGAGATAGTTACCATTGTTTCAGAGAAATGTGCTTCCACCATCTTCAGGGTAGAAGAGGGAGGTAGCTCATTCTTCCAGAATGTTGATAGATACAGTGAAGTCTTGATTTTACACTTTTCAAGGGAACCCCCCCCCCCTCTGAAATAAATATAAAATCAAGACAATGTAAACCTGAGGAAATGAAAATCATGTAACTAACTAATGCTATCGAGCTGAGCCCTTCTTGAGAAGCTGGCAGTCACGCAGCTATTCGGGAATTTCCCAACACTTTATTGAAACTGAAGGTTTGTTACTGTGCTCACAGGAGCCCTGCACTGGTCCCTGTCCTGAGCCAGATCAATTTGGTCCACACTGTCCCATCCTGTCACTCCAAGATGCATTTTAGTAAAGAAAGAGTTGTGTGAAATGATGTGAATAATTTGCTAAATTGTTGAAAGGTACCACATATTGAAAATGGCTCTAACATGGCAGAGAGAGATCCAGGAACATGGAGAAATGCACAGTGACTGTTCATCTGATATGAACTATGAAGAAGATGTTATGGAAATGGAAATGTGGAAATGTTTATTACAAGTGGACACAGAATTGGAGGTGACTACAACTCCATGTGGTTTAGTTTAGTTTTTTGAGCTTTGTATGTGTGTCATGCAATGGGACTGCCCTGCATGGTATCAGTTTCATTTCCAAGTGCCTTCTCTTGTCAGTTACAATAGTTCATCTCTCAAAACATTTCTTTTACTTACCTGCTACATTCTTCTGCACTTGTCCTTATCAATTACTCTCTATTTTATTTCCTTTTCTCTTCCATTCTCTTGATCTCAAAAAATGCATGATTTCCATTATCTTTAAATAAAAAACACTATTTTAAATATTAGTAGTTTGAAAGTTTAATTTGTTTTTGCAAAAGGAGACTTAAAATACATTAAATTACTGGAGTTTTGGACTTTTTCCATCATCCGGAATTTTAGGTAATGGAGGACACGACTTTTCGGAAACTGGATCTGTTTCTGTCTTCAGGTGAGAAAGGAAGACACCTACTCAGTTGGGCCCCCTAGAAAGAGCTAATCTCAATCACTGGACGACAACTGTCAGATTTACCCAGCTATTTCAACATATAGGACTAGGCTATGTTGAAATAGCTGGGTAAAGTTGACAGGAGTTGTCCAGTGATTGAGATCAGCTCTTTCTAAGGGGCCCAACTGAGTAGGTGTCTTCCTTTCTCACCTGAGGATGGAATCAGATCCAGTTTCCGAAACGTCGTGTCCTCTATTACCTAGAATTCTGGATGATGGAAAAAGTCCAAAACCCCAGTAATTCTGTGTGCCATCCACCATCATCAGAACCCTTTTGAATCTACTTAAAATACATTGCTGTCCCATCCCTCCCTCATCTCAGTTGTATTTTATGTTATCATCATCATCAACATCCACTGATGTTGTGCTGGGTGGGTCATCTTCCAGTGACAAAGTATTCTCTACTTTTGTGTGTCTTACCACAAATGCTCCTATTGTATCTCTGTGCACTGTCTCCGTGCTCTTTTGTATGCATTTGACCACTTGGTGTGACCATGTGATCCTTGGTATTTCCAATGGTCATTTATTTACCATCATAATTTTGATACTCTCAAATTAATACTGTTGTCATACATATGTAACACATGCTTGTGTGACTTTGTCTTTAATTTTTAAACATTTCCTTGTAGTGTTCTACTTTCTTTATGTCCTTTTTTTTTATTTTCTCCCTTCATATTCATTCCAGAATATTGTGTAGAAAGTTCACCTCTCAATGTACAAAATGCTGTTTACAACTTCCTTGGTCTTTAGCTTTTACTCCACCTATTAGCTAATAATCACTCAGCTAGTCAGGAAGTTCCTCTTTCTTTGTGGAAGTGTTAACAAGAATCTGCCATAAAGCCTGCCCTGAATCAGTTGAATCATCAGCGCTTCACATCCTATATCATTTTTTTTATTGCTAGTGGGATGGGACTAAGTCCCTTGTATTGTGGCCACTTCTGGCCTATTGTACCAGCCCCAGATGATAGGTGAGGATGTTTGTGGAGCAGTTGGTGGAATGAAGATTGGCAGGGGAAACTGAAGTACTTGTAGAAAACCTGCCCCAGTGCCACTTTGTCCACCACGAATCCCACTTGACCAGACCTGGGATTGAACCCGGGCCGCTGCGGTGGGAAGCCAGTGACTAACCGCTTGAGCTGTGGCACGGTCATGTGTTCCTGTATCATAGTGCAACAACTGTTCTTTACAGGAGACATTGCTGCAGAATATCCCCACTACAGCAGCATCTAAGTTGCTCTGTAATTTAAGAAGAGAGCTTCAGAAAGTTCCCAGAATACCACGTGAACCATTAACTGATGAAGAACAAATTACTCGCCTAAATATGTTAATTGGCAGGTTGCTGGATCAGGCAGATGTGGCTACTGCAAGTAGACTAGAAGAAATGTTCAGCCATCGCAATGAGGTAACATACTTCAATATCTGTGTTCTACATTGTTAGTTGTCTGAGGTAGGGCTGTGCAAACCATATCATGTGGGCTATGTGTTGCCCATAACAGTATTCTTCAATTCCCTAAAATAATTGATGAATCCTTGCTGTTTAAAAAGGCATCAGTTCTTGTAAATAAACCGTTTGTGAAAAAGCGCACAAAATATTCTGTTTAATTTTTTAATTGATTTGTCATGACATCTGATGAATAGCTTAGAAAAGTGTGGAAGCAGTATGACTTTATGACTGTGCTTATTAGAGGCCAGATATTTATACTGTTGTGTTTGAAACATTAAGGGAGGAACATAGACTGAGGGTGTTTGAGAACAGGGTGTTAAGGAAAATATTTGGACCGAAGAGGGATGGAGTGACAGGAAGTTGGAGAAAACTGCATAATGAGGAGCTTCATAATTTGTACTCTTCTCCAAATATAATTAGAATGATCAAGTCAAGGAGGATGAGGTGGGCAGGTCATGTAGCACGAATGGGAGAGACAAGGAATGTGTATAGGATATTGGTGGGAAAAGCAGAAAGAAAGAGACCACGGGGACGACCAAGGCATAGGTGGGTGGACAATATTAGAATGGATCTTAGAGCCATAGGATGGGATGGTATGGATTGGATAGATCTGGCTCAGGATAGGGACCAGTGGAGAGCTCTTGTGAACACGGTAATGAACCTTCGGGTTCCATAAAATGCTGGGAAATTCTTGAGTAGCTGCAGAATTGGCGGCTCCTCAAGAAGCTCCTCAGCTTCATGAGTGAGTAAGTAAGTAAGTGTTTGAAACAATATATTTTTATAATGAGGCTTGTGGGTAGAAACGTCAGATAAAATGCAATCCCACAGTAGTTTGAAGTCGGACAGCTCTGCTCTGTCATATGTCAGACTGTAGTTCATGAACTCACTGTATGCCTGTGCTCAGGTGATAATGGTCATTACACTGGTAGATATATATAGTTAAGGTTAGTTGTCACCACAACAAATGATTTTATAATCAATCAGTATTTGAATTTTTATTTCATGCTACATGTTTCAGTCTACATGGGACCATTGTCAGGCAGTAAATATGAATATGTCTGGTGTCATTGAACTCCTAATATGGATTCATATTTATTGTAACATATCATACTCTACAGTATAATACAGATCATGCTTTGAGTTGCAGTATAAGTGTTAAAATTAAATATAATAAAAGTGTACCAAGGAACTGGGGTAGCTCAGTTGGTATAGCGACTGCCTACTGGCTGGACGACTGAAGGGTTGGAGTTCGAGTCCCGGTAGGGTCAAGAATTTTCTTTTCTCCACATCGTCCACCCAGGGTCCACCCTACGTCTTATTCAGTGGGTACTGGGGGATCTTTCCCCGGGGGTAAAGTGGCCAGGGTGTGAAGCTGACCACTCACCTCCAACTAGTGCCGAGGTCAAGAAAATGTGTATATATGTATCCACTCCCGCATATGCCGTTATGGAATAGTGAATAAATTCATTGAGCACAGGGACAGCTTTACCTTTAAAAGTATACCTAGGTTATATTAAAAATATATATTATATATTGACAGCTTTGTGTTCAAGTTATTAAAAGTATTAAAAGATATATTAAAAGTTATTGTATATCAAGTTTCAATCTTAAAATGCCCAATGCCAGCTTGTGGTCTCTGCATCAGCACTTCATGGTCCCAGCGATCTCCTTGTATGTCACTCCCAGTTGGGACACTGTGATGGATGTCGGTAGCTTGGCCCTCCAGAATTGCCTCTTTGTAGACTGCTCAACCATTTTGATCAGCCACGGCATTGACCTGGCAGTGAAACACTGTCCAGGATGTGGATCCATCCGCCTACGGTGTCTTCACTGTAGTGGTGCTGGTCCCTGTGTTTCTCCTGCCTTGGCCTTCTCTGTTGCCATCTGCATCATGAACTCCCAGGATGTGGCCTTCAGACCATGGCGAGTCACTTCCACATCATTGCTGGATTCTTGAAGATTCTGGGCTTGTTGGTTACCACTGTCATGACGTCCTTTAACTGTTTGTCTAGCGTGTCTGTTAGTCTTTCTCTGAATTTGTTCTGGCCAGCCCTGATGGCACATACGTGGGTCATTTCATAAATAATGCACAGGTTGGCAACACTGCGGATTAGATGACACAACGACAGTGAGCCTCATGTCAGTTACAGTTCAGGGCTTGAGAAAGAAGCGTGTTATTTTGTTCAGTAAAGCTTCCCACACATTGGGACTCGGTCATTGAGAAGCAGGGGGACTATATTGAAGGACTGTAAAGAGATATTAAAAAGAAAACATGGATGTAAACAAAAAATTGTGTTCATTATTTGTGAAATGACCTACATATTTTGAATTTTTGTTTTTCTTGGCTACTGGTCATGTCTGTTTGTAACTGTTCTTCTCTCAGGCTGCCAGTTGGTCTTCACCATTGCTTATGTCCCCAAGTTCTTTCAACTGTTCGAAAACTGCTTGCAATGCTCGATCCATCTTTGATCTGACTTACCTACTTGAAGCAGTTATTTTCTCGCCATCATTAGTCATTTATGATCATGATGCCAGTTCTTTGTCCACTTGTTATCCCATTGTAAAGCAACTGCTCAGCCATCTTGACTGTCTTCCCTCATCTTCTCTAAGCCTACACTGAATTACTTTCTTATTTCCTTCCACGAATTCCACAGCTCTGGTTTATATGCACAGCCATTTGGGATGTTTTTCATGGGTTCTTGAACAACATGTGCCTTAAACGGTCTAGAAGGGGTGGATGCAGCCCCACACACAGCTCCAGTGACAGTATTATACATAATTAAGCTTGCAGCTATGTCTTTCAACAATTTTTGGATGTTATGAGTATCTGTTACAATGAGAATTTTTTAGAAATGTCATAAATTATTGTACCGTCAGGTTTTACTGTAGTTGGTTGGTTAGTTCACTAGTTAGTTTGCTAATTAGCTAGACGACAGTTTTGTGGAAATGGCTATAAGACTCCAATAGTAGAATAGGGTAATCTGTTTAATATTTATTTGTTTCAGGATTTACAGCTCCTGTGGACTTGTATGAGTCTGGCAGAGGGAGAAATGACACCATACCAACTGAATGCGGAACACAGGATGTTATTGTCAGAGCCAGGAAGTAAATCCAGTGGCACCTACAAACGAAGGGCTCTGCAGTCAGTGAGGTTATCTTCTGTTTCATCAAGTGGAAGTAAGTAAAGAATAAGGCTGCGCCATAGCTCAAGCCGTTAGTTGCTGGCTTCCCACCGCGGTGGCCCGGGTTCGATCCCGGGTCTGGTCAAGTGGGATTTGTGGTGGACAAAGTGGCACTGGGGCAGGGTTTCTCCAAGGACTTCAGTTTCCCCTGCCAGTCTTCATTCCACCAATAGCTCCACAGTCACCCTCACCTATCATCTGGGGCTGGTACAATAGGCCAGAAGTGGCCACAGTACAAGGGACTTAGTCCCACCCCAGCAGCAATAAAAAGAAAGTAAAGAAGAATATATTGTCAGCCACTGTCTTTGAATATAGGTATTGGTTGTTAAGCAATATTTGAATTGCATATTGTGATAAGACAGAATTACTGTTAAGCCCTGCCTGTGACATTAACCTTTACTGTACGGCACATGTTGATCCTTCAAGGTACAGTTTCCGTTATGTTAGGGTGGTCAGATGGAAAATAATTGGATTGGTGGGACATGTAGATGAATGGGGCTGATTTAAAATGCGTACAGAATTTTAGTCCAAAAAATAACTGAGAGGAAGAGAACATTCAGGAGACATAGGACTAGCTACGAAGATAATTTTTAAATGGATTTTAAAGAAGCAGTGTTTATTATGTGGATTGGATTCATCTTCCACAGAATAAGGTCCACTGATGGACTCTTATGAACATGATAATAATTGGGTTTCATGAAAGGCAGAAAATTTCTTGACCAGACAAATGACTATTGGCTTCACAAGACTGATTCTTTTCTATGGTGTTAGCATTTTTGAGTGAAATTAAAATCAAGTTGTATGGTGTCAGAATGCAGTTATATCATAAATTATATTAACAGTAGTTTATAAGATACAAGTAAAAACTAAATTATTAAATTACTGCCAGCTTTTATAAGCATTTTGAACACAGAACATAATTAAAATTATGTTCCTTGTGATAAATAAAAAAGGTAAAACTCAGGGTATGTGTGAGAATGACTTTTTTTAGTTCAAGATAAGCTCAAGATCAGAATTTGGAAAAACTTCAAGAATCAACACAGGGATGATAATTTCCCAAGTAGACCAGTTTTTTCAATTTAATAATTTATAACAGTATCTACTTTTTCAGAGGATTTTCATATCTACCTAGATGGAAGATGATTCCAAATGTAAGATGACTCTGCACTAGGAAATGTGTGCTCAGGAAAGTTAATGTTATGAATTAATTTCATACTTTTACATACTCTTATTACAAACATGTGGGAGAAAGTAGATGTTAGAAAACCTGTTCTGTGTGACATTTATTGAGTTAGTTTCCCTGTTGAAGTCACTAGTTTCTTCAATTTTACTCTGTTCTCCTGTCATCTGTCATGGTCTCAGTGTCTCCAGAACTCCCATCTTCTGCCTCACATTCTCATGCTCACTGTGAATAATCCATACTTCCTCCTACCTCTCCCTAACATCTGTTCCATCAGAAATGGAGCAGTTTTTAAATCTTTTGCCTATCACTTCTGGAGAGATCTGTTGCCATGATCTGTTCCACTGTTACTGCAGTGCTACACTAGGTTTCTTCTTTGTTCCAGCGGTGCCAAAATATACTGCTGTTGTGAGAGGTATTCAGAATACACTTGCTTCAACTGATTCTTACAAGGCTTATTCACATGTCGTTGTGAGGTCATCTCTCAAGGTTTGACCATAAGGTCATTGTTCTTCATGTATCCCAGATCTGATTTCCAGTGTTAAAAGACCTGTACATACACCCAGCTCAAGTATTTCTTGTTTTACATTTCTTTCATTGTTGAAATGCTAATATAGAATGTAGTTGACATAATACAATTTGTGTCACCATTTAATGACTGTTTTTCTTCTCAGTTAATTCTTCTGGGTTGTCACAGAGCCCATTAAACCAAAGCATCAGCTCGGAATATACAGAAATTAATCTCCGAGATAAGCAAGAGACACTGTCAGTCCTGGAGAAACTGGTTGACCATCTACAACATGGAAGAAAACTAGGCACTCGCATTGTTTGCTGTTATCATGTTTCCTTGAACTTGGACAAACCATATCAGGTATTATATGAGAGTTTATTATATTAATTTTTGTAAATATGAACTGTAGACTGAATCAGCCTCTTTTCTTGACTAAACCAAAAATGTTTTAATTTTTATTTATAGAAAGTGAAGAAACAAAGATAATATATTTATTCTTTCTTTGTTTGGATGGTTGATTGATCATCGGTCAATCGTTTATTCATATGATGAATCACTGTTCACCTTCTGAACATCCAATTTTCTCTCTTAGCAGCTCTTTCTTTCATTTCAAAATAATTTTAATTGCATTGTTTGATATCCTATATCATTCTTTTTAAGTGTTCAGCATATTTCTAGCTACAATATAATGTCTTTTCTTGTTTTTTATTGTGCTCAAAACTGAACATTGTGGCTGAAAAGGCAGCAATCTTGCTTCATATTTGGAAAGTCCTGGGTTAAAATCTTGACCTGGAGACCCCCTATTATGATTAAGATTTGTCACTGTTTTCCTCATTTCCCTCAGGCATATTCCAAGGCACCATTTCAGATTAGGCCAAACTGCTTTCTTTGATATCCTTTCCAATTCATTATTCACAGTACTTCATGTTACATAGTCTGAGTTACAGACAGAATCCTTAATAAGCAACAAATAAATAAGTAAATGATGCTGTTATGTCGGATTTTAGGTTCTTTTGGCAGTGACTATGAATAGTATGGTCTTCTGGGTTAATACCATGTAGTTCAGAAGGAACTCAATGTTTTTCAGGAGCATATTGTTTCCTTCTTCCATGGTGAAGAGTAGGCCCACCAAGAACCCAGTAGAAGTATGCTGAGTTTGCTGAATGTTTCCTCTGGGTTCTTGTCTGGCTTACTCTTTGAGTCCGAAGATGGAGGGCATAAGTTCCCCTGAAATGTCGGGCTTTCTCTGAACTACACGACATTGCAACCCAGAAGATGTTGCTTTTATGTCATTATTTGGTTTTTATCACAGGAGCACCCACTGGACCCTCTTCTGAGCCAGATGAATCCAGTGAATCCTGTTTCCTTCAAGAATTATTTTAATATTATTATCCCTTCTGTGCCTGGTTCTGTTGACTGACCACAAGACTAGGGGGAGAAAACTGCATAATGAGGAGCTTCATAACTTGTACTCTTCTCCAAGTATAATTAGAATGACCAAGTCAAGGAGGATGAGGTGAGCAGGTCATGTAGCACGAATGGGGGAGACGAGGAATGCATATAGGATATTGGTGGGAAAGCCAGAAGGAAAGAGACCACAGGGAAGACCAAGGCGTAGGTGGGTGGACAATATTAGAATGGATCTTAGAGCGATAGGATGGGATGGTATGGATTGGATAGATCTGGCTCAGGATAGGGACCAGTGGAGGGCTCTTGTGAATATGGTAATGAACCTTCGGGTTCCATAAAATGCTGGGAAATTCTTCAGTAGCTGCAGAGTTGGCAGCTCCTCCAGAAGGGCTCAGCTCCATGAGTAAGTAAGTAAGTGCCTGGTTCTGTTGGATATTGGTGCTATTTAGCAATTAACACAACAATAAGAATAAAAATAAACCAATCAGACTGCTCATATTGGTTGATAGTTGCTACATGTTTTGGTCCACGTTGGGGACCATCTTCGGGCAGTCTTATCAAGTATGTCTCATGTTACTGAACTGTCCTAATATGGAACCATATTAGTGCTACTCATCACAGTCATGCAATATGTGGAACTGTCACGAAGTTGAAAGAATCTTTTTAATTTAAAAATTTTTCAAATTTAAAAGTTAGTGTAAAGTTACTGTGTAAATTCCATTTTTACTTCTGCTGGTATGAAGCCTTTTTTTTTTTATCAAAAATTGTTCTTTGTATAAAAATTAGTATATACCATAATATGTGTTTAATTGAGGTCTACAACTCTTATTTGAAATAATTCTTTATACAATGCACATTTAACAAACCACTCGGACAAATTGTTTATAATTATGTTTAGTTTTATTTATAATGAACTTAGCTTTGCAAGAACAGGTGTGCAACTCAGATAAATGAACATCAACACCAATTAGGTATGTAAAATTAAAAAGAATTCAAGTAAACTCTCCTTTATGTATCAGAATAAATTAAACGTTTCAGGATGTTTTGAAGTTGGAAGATCCTTTGAGACTGTTACATAGTCCTCTTGCTGATGACAGCTGCAGCAAGTTAGTCGTGGCTAGTGACCTCATGTTAGCTGCTCAGATGAACAGTGAGGAGGTATCGAGTTTTTTGTGTCAAGAAATTATTTCAGCTATCAGAAACCATGTAGAAGGTACAGTATTATAAGCACTTTTTTGTTAATAAATATAAGAGCTTTCTTGTATGTTATAGATTTGAAACAGTTATTATTCTGTATTCTTCGTTATATTAAACATAGATTGTCCACACACACTGACCACCAGAACATGTAACAAAGATACCATCTGAGAAATACCCATCACTGCAAAAGACCGAACACCATGACACACAGTACATCATTTTAAGTCATTTTATATATTAAATTATCGTAACAGGAACCAATTTGATATTTTAAAATATTGAACTTTTGGATGTGTAGCCCTCACGAGCTATGTAATATTACTGTGCATTGTAGCACATCAGGTACCTGATGATGGCCCTGTATGGCTGAAACATACACATGTATTTGAATTTACAGGAAAGCATGAAATAAATGGTAATTCAAGCAATTATTTGTGAAGTTGCATTGAAGACTGTATTTCATCATGAAATGATTAACTAATGTAGTAGGATGCTCAGATAAGTACAATGTTATAGGTATAACTAAGTGTGTTTGCCTGCTGCAAAACCAAAATTTATAACATAATTGTTGTATAACTATAAATAATAAGTCATATAAATGCGGTATCATGGTTGGTTCAGGCACTATGCTACCAGCTGGAAGTTCGTGGGTTTGAGTCTCGATGTATTGGATTTTTTCAGTTTACCTAATCCTTCCAATTGCAATATGGCCCTGGGGTCAACTCAGCCAGGAATATTCCGAGGGAGGATAAAGGGTGGCCGGCACGTAAGGCTAACAACCTTACAACCTTCTGTGAACCAACTGTCTAGAGAAAATGTCGGTGCCTTGATGATGGAGAACGTGTGCCGATGTGAAGAAATAAAGTTATCCCTGTGCTTAACTAATTAAACATGAAGATGTATCTGGTCTAGAAAACCGAGATTATAGCCATGGGGATCCGTTGCGCTGACCAAATGACATCGTCTATCCACAAAAGTTGACACTAACTTCGCCAATAAGCAGCGGTCCCTCAGTCGGTATAGTTTGTTTGAGGACTACATGCCACGGAGTTCATATATAGGAATTATGTTAACTGTCAATACAACAAATATACTCAGTTTTAATATTTTACAATTCGATCTTTATTCCTGATACATGTTTCGGTCGTATAAGACCATCATCAGATAGTTATAGGAATATGTTTAGTTATTGAACTACTGATATGGATCCATATCAGTGCAACGTATCGTATTATATATTAACATAAAATATTTGCCTCAAATTGGTGTTACAATTAAAGCATGAACATATGTTACACAGGTGAAACAAACATATTCTCTAGAGTCAGAATGTGGGGCTGTGATCTGGATCTTAATTTTCACCTTGTTTTGGAACTTTGTGATGACTTATCCAGTCTGGGTACGAAACTGATGGCTGAAGCAACTCAACTTGGAACATCACATCTGGAGGCATATAAGGAAGGTAGTATCTGTTTAAGTGAATTGGCTTAGCTTGAAAATTCTGTCCAAAACTTAATGTTCCAAACAAATTTGCATGGTTAAAGTTTCCAATATTTAATCTGATTCTGTTTCATTTGTACATTTCCTACTTCTCGTTCACAAAAATTATCTGCTTAGAAGCCTGTTCCAAAGTTTGGAAGTTAATAAGTAATATTTTCATCTACTCCATCTTCCTTTCTTGTTAGTGCAGAGTACATCATTTTAGAGAGCCTGTCCTCCTCCATTCTGCCCCCAGTCTAATTGGTAATGTTGTATGTTGTCAGCTATGTAGTTTGCAGTCTGCTTCTTATTTACACATTTTAGTCTTTTTCTTAAAGTTAGTTAGTTAGTTAGTTATTGGAGAGGGTGGGTTTCCCCATGCACTTAGACCTGTATTGGTCCATTGTGCTTCCCTCTATGATTTCTACCAGTCTCTATATCCTACCAGTACTGGTGCTTACCATCAGTCCCACCCAGCCAGCGAGACCGGCTCTACTAGCTGAGAGGTATCTATAATGCTTCCCCCATCTACCAGAGGTATTAGAGACTGCTGTTGGGCGAGAAACGTCCGTAATTTGGCTCAGTGACCTCCTTTGGAGATATGAGGTTCTTTTACGTGCCGTAAAGCTACGACACAGGACCCACGGCTTAAAGTCCCTCCCGGAGGACTTGTTCCCTGAATTTTTCGTCCTTAAAAATTCCACAACCTCCGCCGGGTATTTGAACCCGCGTACTACGAGTCATGAGGTGGGAACGTTACCTCTAGACTACGGAGGCCGCTTTTTCTTAAAGTTACTCTGAACAGTGATTAAAGAAGGTCATATATGCTCTTTATCCCACATGGTAATTTATCAGCTGGTGTTTTCAAAACTGTAAAGTAGATAGAGATTTCATGTGGTGATCATCTACATGTTTTATGTACTAACAAATTATTATTTTAGTGAAAATTGCATATATTTCGTACTGCCTGTTGTTAGCTGGAAATTTTGGTTAACGGCCTTAGAACTTACATATGATAAATACTGGCCTGGTGGAAGATCCAGAATCTTCAAAATAAAGAATTGGAATTAAAAGGAACTGAAAAAGGGAGAATATTATTGTAATCACTGAAACTAAAAAATAATTAGGAACTACTAAAGAATATAATGATTATGCCATGATTTAGAGTGGGGCTGAGTAAAGAGAATGACCTAGTAAAGGCTTAGCTATTTTGGTAAACAAGAAATCCAAGCATAAATTTTTAAGTTGTGCATATATAAATGACAGGAGAATCACATTATTTTTTAAGGTAGAGGTCATATAATGGTTATTAGCATGAGTGCACCAGAAGAAGGGAAACTGGAAGAAATGGAATCTCCATAACATCCATCTTAATATATGTAAAATTAGAATTGAATTCCATCAAATGCAACAGTGATTTTAATAATAAAATAAACCGTTTACATGTTTCGGCCAATGATAGCCATCATCGGAGGGTGGCCAACGCTTCAAAGGAGATGCTTCACAGGTATTATGTGCATGTGTTGTCTTGTAAAGGTTAAAACTCTAGTATTTAAAATATGTTTGTTAAGTGTAATTGATTTTCCAGTTGATTAAAATCTTGCTGTAAAGTCCAGTAATGGTTGTGTTCCTTCACAGTACATCTTCTGTATTGTGTGTGCACATGCGTGCATGCATACATAAAAGAGACCCTTGTGCACAAAGACATGCGTGCATGCATACATAAAAGAGACCCTTGTGCGCAAAGACATGCGTGCATGCATACATAAAAGAGACCCTTGTGCGCAAAGACATGCGTGCATGCATACATAAAAGAGACCCTTGTGCGCAAAGACATGCGTGCATGCATACATAAAAGAGACCCTTGTGCGCAAAGACATGCGTGCATGCATACATAAAAGAGACCCTTGTGCGCAAAGACATGCGTGCATGCATACATAAAAGAGACCCTTGTGCGCAAAGACATGCGTGCATGCATACATAAAAGAGACCCTTGTGCGCAAAGACATTCATGAAGAATGAAGAGATCTGACAGAAAGGATAAAAAAAAAGCTTCAAATGAAGCATTATGCAAAAAGAAAATTTACAGAAGAACAGGGGATTGAAAATCTGGAATAAAGACATAGTGAATGTCATAAAATGAAAACAAGAAACTTACCTAAACTGTATACAAAAAAGAACAGAAGGAGTGGAAGGAACTTCAAAATAAAAGAAATACTGCTAAGAAAACTATTAAAGATGCTCATTAAGATTCAGTCAGATTTTTTTAAACATCTGTAAAAATGATTCTTTTTCCTAATATAATACCTGAAGGAACTAGAATACCAGTGTGGGAATTCGAATTAGAGTTTATGATGCAAAGGGGAATTGCTTGTTCATGGTATCTTGAGCAACAGCATTGACGCAGATGAGAACAGAATCCACAGAGGTGGTACCATACACACAGGACCAGTCATAAGTTGAGGCAGTATTATAAAGCAGTGCATAATCCCCAGATGAGAATTTATGTTAAGAATATACATAATTCTGAATACAAGTGGCAAAGGGCAGATAAATATTGATAATCAGAGGGGATGATAATTGTCAGGCCTTATAAGTCCAGGGTTGACAGGAGTAATAATTAAGTCGCTTAAGTTAGAAAAAATTAAATGAAGTAGATTTGTGCTTCCAACAGTATCAGTGCTCTGGTTAAGGTTAAGAAGACATGTGGAGGTGTAAATCGCATCCCCCATAAGTTTAGAGCAATAATGGAAATTGGGCACAGACAGACCACTTTCCCAGTCAAAACCAGGAGCATTAAAATCCCCAACAATATATACATGAAAATTATGGGTATCCAGCTTGTTTTTGGAAAAACGAAAGTGGTTAGCAGTGATTTCAGGTTTAGTGTCAGGGGGAAAGTAATGGTTTCCAATGAGCAAGTTAAAACCGTCAAAAGTGGTGATTTCAACTGATACACATTCATCACAAGATTCTAAATAATACCTTCATTCACAGGAGCGAACTCTGAAGTACAGGGCAATGAGTACTCCACCCCCACATGTCTCATAGACTTCCTGTCGGAACAGAAAACTGTATAGCAATCAGGAAATAAATTGTGATCATAACACGCATCATTTGGCCATGTCTTAGTTAAACAAATAATATTATATGTAAGATTTGAGGTTTTCACGGCGATGACTATGAAGAAAGTCGTCTTCTGGGTTTAGGCGCCGTGTATTCTTCGTTTTGGCTGACGTTTCGGAGGANCAATTTCCAGGATGGGTGTGAGACCTGGCAGAACCACCTGTGTTGATGTCACGTGCCATAACCATTAACTGAGTGCAGGAGCGTCCTCCCCATGGGAAAAGAATCAGCAGGGGCAGGGGAATGGGGGGACAAAGGCTAGCTGAACCAGGGGAGGGAGGCCAAGACATAGCTGGTGTTTCAACAGTATAAATCTGGTCAGGACTTAAGCGCCCATAATAAGGGGCGATTAAACAGCCATTAGGCCAGACTCCAGTATCATTAATAAGATGGAAATCATCTGCAACAGAGACATGAAACAAGGCATACAAATTATGTTTAGTTTCTAATCTGATGCAAGCAAGGGAAGCAAGCTGCAAACTGAGAGACAAAAAGAGACTTCCTGCAGACCGTCTTCTGCACAACGGAGAGAGAAGAAGAGCTCACTCCAGTCATGACAGTCCTGGGTTTTTTTTTTGTGGTATTGGCAACATCAGCAGTGTTTACAGGAGACAGGTTTACCTGCTTCTTCCTAACTACCATCACATAATCGCTATCAAAAAGGTTTTCGCCTGTCACAATGGATGGCTAAGGTAGAAAATTCCTAGCTGGAGCTGTAACTGCAGTGGCAACAGGGTTACCACCCACTGCACACACAACATCCCTGTATGATTTTGCCATAGTGTTATTTGCTATGGCAGATGAAGCAGCCTCATGTCCTGTTGATGGCACGTGAGAGGGTGCCTGTTGTAGGTTGTGTAACTGCATCTGCAGGGTACCATTGTTGATTCGTAGCTGTACCATCTCCATGGTACAGATGTCATTTGTACGAATTGCTTCCAGCTGCATGCTAAGAGAATCATTATCCCCCAGTACATGAAGAAGTACATTGAATCTCTGTGGATAATGTTTCCTTCTGATTACTTGTATCAATGGAATGCTCATTTGTGGTATCCCCTGTAAGTTTCTTGCAGCTGTCACACTTATCAGCGGACTTACCAGTGGATGCACTCACATTGGTCTCTGACACACCGGTCTGTAGGCAATTACAGTGAAAGCACAAATTGTACTTGCCATGATGTTATGGTCTATAACCAGGCGAAAATTTAGAAGCCTACATTTAAGAGTATTAGTGTTTCTCTATGTTAGAAAATTGCATAACTATCTTTTTGTTGTAAATGATAGCAGGAAATTATAAAGTATGAAAATAAAGTCTCTGATGTCAAGACATTTATACAGAAGTTCATGAAAAGTTACAAATATAAATCACTCCGTCCAATGTGACCTGTAAGTTTTTTACTACATGAAAACTTAACACCCTTACATGTTTTGGTCTCTGTGGACCATCTTCAGAGGGCAAACATCACTACAAATAGGAAACCACCATCACATAAGTTGTTTAGACGTAAAGTACGTACACTTATATGCTACAATACATAGTACACAAAATAGAACATTTCACAAACACAGCAGTTTCGTGGGAATGTAAAGTTTTTTAAAAAATTGTATAAAATTTCTTGATGCTAATTGATGATGTTAGGTGGTTTAACAACTATTACAAGTGACTACACAAATACAAAACAAATTCTGGGACCAACTAATAGCCTTTCCTTTCATTAAATTGAGTGTGTATATCTATATATATATACACACACACACCCACACACATTGCTATGGGAACATGTTTACCAAGCTTTTATCTAGTAATGGCCCTCTCGTCTGGCTTTTAAACATTATGTCATATTAAGAAGAAAGTTGTCTTCTGGGATCTGGCGCCGTGTATTCTTGGTTTTAACCTACGTTTCGGAGGAACATATCACCTCCATCTTCAGGGCAGTTGAATTGTGTTGCGAATACAGAGAGCAGTAGCTGCAATGATATGTTCCTCCGAAACGTCAGTTAAAACCAAGAATACACAGCGCCAGATCCCAGAAGACGACTTTCTTCATAGTCATCGCCGTGAAAACCTCAAAACTTACATTATGTCATATTGTTCCCTTCTTAAGGCTGCTCATCCATATAGCTTATAAACATACCATCAGACAGATAGATTTCGAAGGGATGAGACTACTTTTATTTAAAACGAAAGGAAAGTAGGCTAAAAATACACGTATATACAATGTTACTTAGGCTTGGCTTTCTTTAACACTGCCCACTACTGTGATTGTTTCCTTGCTTGTACTGCTGCTGTTGCAACTTTGCACTGTGTATGTTGGCATTGGTTCTCGTGAATGTTGCAGTTGTGGAGATACTGATCCGGGCTCATGATTGCTATACTGCAGCTTTGAATATGGAAGGTATTGCAGCTGTTCTGCATCAAGCGCACATGCTCACGGCTAATCTCTTGCAGAGGCAGGAGTGGGCTCTGATGGTAAGAGCATTGCCATTTCCCATATTTAACTGGATGGCTGTGTGAAGTACTGTTCATAATGTTTATTATATTCCTGTCAACACAACACTGCCTAGGCAGTATTATTTTTTTTATTACTAGTGGGGTGGGGCTAAGTTCCTTGTACTGCGGCCATTTCTGGCCTATTGTAGCAGCCCCAGATGATAGGTGAGGGTGATTATGGAGCAATTGGTGGAATGAAGATTGGCAGGGGAAACTGAAGTACTCAGAGAAAACGTGCCCCAGCGCCACTTTGTCCACCACAAATCCCATTTGACCAGACCCGGGATCAAACCTGGGCCGCCACGGTGGGAAGCCAGTGACTAACCACTTGAGCTATGCCGTGGCCTGCCTAGGCAGTAACTGCAGCTGGAAATAGTGTTGTATTTTCAATAATTGTCTATAATCAGTAATACAATAGCATTATTAAAAATTAATTCAGACAGGACTGCCAGAACTGTGATTGATGTTCTTAAGATATGCATTAAAATAATGTTATTAATAATTATTTCTGACGTGGCCTACTGAACTCAAAGAGTTTTTCATGAGACATACATTAACCTGGATGGACTTACGTTGACTTATAAGAAATAGAGAAAACATAAAATTAAGAAGAAATTAAATTTGATTTTATTGTTTTGATATTAAGTCTCTTTCTATTATTACTTGATTTAATGGAATGCATAATGGTCCATCATTAATTATTTGCTGTTAAACTGTTAATTAGTGCAAATGGTGCACTCCTGATTCTGGAGTCTGAAAATTATATATTAAAAAGTAAAATTTTGTGAAATATCTGGTAATTAATTATATCTTCAGATCACTACAATTTGCACTGAATTTTTCTACGGGTTTTATTTTTCCCACATTCTGGCAGTGAACAAACTGTTATCTGTTGATATAATTTATATTTTTCTTACACAGGTTCGATTACTGACTGGAGTTGGAAGATATAGAGAAATGAACTATATTTTTCAAATTTTGAAGGATAATGAACAGTTTGAATTTCTTCTTGGAAAGGGATTGGATAAGGTAAATTTAGTCATTACTTAATACATCAGCACCATTTGTAACAAATAAATTTACTTGTACAGTGTTGCAAGGATGGCACAGTGTCATAATATCCACTCACCACAACTGATAGTGCATTACATAGCATACCAAGATTATGGTCTTCCTGCATGTAATGCTATGTATTTTAGTATCTCTCTACTAAACTACACAAAATCATGACTTTTTTAGTTCTTGACAAGATTGCATTGAGAATTTTGAACAATTTCAAGAATTAAGGCCGGAACAAGAATTTTCTTTAGTAGAACATTTTTACACTGCAATAATTTATGACAGATCCCTCCAAATATGACCACAAGATCAGTATTCACTGACTGAATCAGAGATCTGATATCCAGTATTAAATGACCTTAAAATGCATTCAGCACATACATTCCTTGTTTTATCAGCAATATTCCTGGTCTCCTGTTTCAGACAGTTTGTAAACAGTTCCCCATCAGTTCATTAAGTCATCCATATTTTATTATGGTACTCTATTATTCTGATAGGAAGCTGTGTCTTACACATAGTTCTTCAGTTCAGTATAACATATTGTAGTAGTTACATGTTGTCTCCCAACTCTGCCAGCATTGCAGTTACGTCTTCTCATTGCCCAATGTTTTTATAACTATAGATTTGCTGCTTTTGTTTCATAGCTTTGGTGGTACTTCATGTGACCTTGTGGCAGCACATGCCTTCTGACACCTAAACGAATTTGTCTCACTACTGTCTTAGAGTGATATTAAGCGGCCTCTGTAGTCTAGAGGTAACGTTCCCACCTCACGACTCGTAGTACGCGGGTTTAAATACCCGGCGGAGGTCGTCGAATTTTTAAGGGCAGAAATATTCAGGGAACAAGTCCTCTGGGAGGGACTTTTAAGCTGTGTGTCCCATCTCGTAGCTTTACGGCACGTAAAAGAACCTCATATCTCCAAAGGAGGTCACTGAGCCAAAATTACGGACGTTTCCCGCCCAATAGCAGTCTCTAATACCTCTGGTAGATGGGGGAAGCATTATAGATACCTCTCAGCTAGTAGAACCAGTCTCACTGGCTGGGCGGGACTGATGGTAAGCACCAGTACTGGTAGGATATAGAGACTGGTAGAATATCATAGAGGGAAGCACAATAGATCAAACTGGTCGCGGTGCATGGGGAAACCCACCCTCTCAAAATAACTAACTAGAGTGATATGAACTGTGCCATGCATATGAAAGAAGCTTAAAGCCTACTAAAAACATCCAGTATATATAGCATTCAAATTTATGGTGATTTGATCAGTAGTTTTGTAACTCTTAAACAGGGGAAGAGAACTTAGCTTCCATTCAGGCAAATATGGTACTTGCCCCTTTTAATGTGACCATAACATGCAAAGCAAAAGTAGTTATCAGAAAATTATCATGTTCAAGGATGAAATTTAATGTCTGAATTCAGGTCAATAAATTTTTCCTTGAGCCAGTCTTAAAAATTCAAGACTTGCACATGCCTACTCTTAATACTCACCACCTTGATAACTTGAAGTTTCACCTTAGTGTACCAAAATTTATTCATTTATTATTCAGTTTTATGTGTAATGGAATAAAGTATTGACATTACTGAGACTGTTTATATTACTATGTTGTGAAGGTCACAGAAGTTTATGAGTCCAGAGACATCAAACATGAGTAGCCAGCATGAGCCATAAGAAATGTTCCCAAAACTGAAGTGCAGATTTTTCTGCATGGACATGTTAGAAGTAGAAATACAAGAGTACTGATAAAATTAAAGAAGAGGGTAAAAGAATGAATAAAGGATAGAAGGAGAATAAAGATAGAAAGAAAAAGTATTGATAAGTGGAAAAAGGGAAGAGACAGGAGAAAAAATAGTTGAAGATAAAGCACTGCATGTTATTATTCTTTCAGGTTTAGTATTTTAATGTCTTGAAAATATTTCAGGTTATTGAGGTTAGTTATTCTCAATGAAGTTTGTTCTTAAAATTCTCCATTAAAATTTCAATGAGCTTAATACTAGTATAATTTCAGTTAATGATCATGTGTACGAATAACAGCTGACCATTTCAGGTTCCAAATCTGAAGTTAGCGGTACTAGATTTTCTGAAGCGGCACTGTCCTGAGGATCGGGAGCTGTTCCGGCTTGTGTGTCTTCACTTCTCATTGTTCAGTGAAGTTGCAGACCTGTGGGAAAGTGAGGGACATAGTAGAGTGCATACATTGCTGGCAGTGATGACACAACAAGGCGCTGCACCCATATTGCTGACCAATACAGAGGACACAAAGCACTGCCTCCACATGGCAATGCTCAGTTTCACACATTCAGCTGAATACTTTCTGCAGGTGAGAGCTTTGTATTTGTGTATGTGTTCTGGAGATACCTTTGTTTCCCATATCAGAAGTTTGGCATAAATGATTATTCCATATCGGAGCTTTTTCCTTGTTGTATGTAATGGCATGTCATAGTGCATATTCTTCATAAAGCTGGAAATGGGTTTCTTGAGAACTTTTGCAGCAACTTTTTAAAGGTGTGCCACCTATTGGGAAATTTCGAAGGCCTGCAACTGCAGCCTTAGGTTTCGGATGAGCTGGTCTCAAACACGCCAGTAGGGAGAGTTCTTGATATTTCAATAGACGGAGTGATGCATCCATGCCAGGAATCATATCCCCCCCCCCCGGTTANNNNTAGCTCCGGTGATGGTATTTTTAATCCGAACTTGTACTAGAAATATTTTAACAGTATAAACCTAATATGTGAAGCTAGCGATTCTTTTGTTATGGTTCATTTTTAATGTACTCACTAATATTATAATATGATGTAAATTACTGTCAAAGTACATCCAGTTTATTACTTATGTTGATTATGTGTTGTTAAAACCCCTGACATGTTTCAGTCACGCAAGACTGCATTCAGGGGGATTGAGCCAGGATAGTGCAGTCAGTATAATGACTGGCTACAGGCTGGATTACCAAGGTGTCAGAGTTTGAGTCCTGGTGTGGGATAGAATTTTCACTTCTCCATGTTGTCAAGACTGGCTCTGGGTCCCACCCAGCCTTCCTATCCAGTGGGTTCTGGGGTCTCTTTCCCTGGGGTAAAGCTGTGGGGCGTGAAGCTGACCACTCACCTGCAACTAGTGTCAATGTCAAGAAAATGTGGATCGATACATCCATTCCCCATACGCCTTCATGGCATAGTGCTTAATTAGTTAAGCGCAGGGACAGCTCTACCTTTACAATTCATATATATAAAAGTAAAGGGGGGGGCATGCCATAGCTCAGGTGGTTGATTCCCACTGTGGCGGCCCAGGTTCGAGATCAGGTCAAGTCATGTAGGATTTGTGGTTGACAAAGTGGAACTGGTGCAGGCTATCTCAGTACTTCAGTTCACCCTGCCAGTTCTCTTTCTACCACCTGGTGTATGTTCTTTAGTGATCATGTGATGGGTGTTATGTAGTCTCATTACTGACGACAACATCGTGAAATACCAAACTTATAAAAAGTAAATAAATAAAGTGTGTAAAATGTCTGAGTCATAAATTTCTTGTAAAAGTTTAGAACTAATGTTAATGTTAAAAGTCATTGATATAAGCTACAGTTAGTGTGATTTTGTTGGTTACGATGTGTCATGCCATGTTGTCTGTTGCTGTCTCGTGTTTCAGGTGTTGATAAGGCGCAGGTTTGTGGTTTTATTATGGTTCTTGGTAGGTGAAGTATATCTACCAAGAATCACAACAAAACTACATGAAGGTTCAACCCTTCTGGTACCAAAGCCTGCCTTTGTACAGTGTCCTGATCTAATTGCATTCATCTCCCTTCCTTATAATCTGTATTCTTAAGATCAGGTGTTATGTTATCCTCCCATCTTGTACTCATTCTTATCACTTACTCCCCACAATTCTGTAGTATTTCTTATCTAATGTGATCTTGATTTCACTACCTTGATAGTACCAGGTCACCTGTACAAAAAGCAGACTTCCTTATTATATAAAATTCTAAATTCCTTACTTAGGCTACTGCATACTTTTTGAACCAGTATTTTTAACTCTTGTAATGTATATTCTTGCCTGAGAATAAAAGACCAAGTTTCACAGCCATTTTTTAATGTTCTGGTTACAGGCTAACAAACTTACTAGGGCTTTGACGGCAGCGCATCATGCAGAACTGGTTGCTTTACAAACATTTCTTGTCAGTTCTGTTCCTCTTGGTCAGGGAGCAGACTGTCTTTTAGAATTGGACTCTGCTGAAGTTTCTAATATTATCACACACAAACTGAGGTGAGGATGTTTCTTTGACTATTTTATTTTGCAGTAATTATATTGTCATGTGTAGGGTGGTATGCGCAACAAAAGTGATGGGTTCTAGTTCAGATGATCGGATTTATTAGCACCTTGGTTACAAGTTCTTTTAATCACATTAAAATACAAAGCTACTGCTGATTTACACACACTGGTCTTCTCCTGGTACCACAATTAAAATGCAGGAACTATAAGTCTCACTGAATCACACACTCCAAGTATTACACATGAATGAAGCTTTTGATCACCCTTTAAATCTTCACAAGTCGACAAACTTTCTGTGGCTGTCCCCTACCGAGAACTCACAACTCTCAACTCTGTCACTCCCTGCCTTGGTTATTTTTGGGAATCTCGTTCTATAGCCATGGCATGGACCACACAGAAAACAGTCTATCTGTTGTTGAGGCTTGTTTACCGATCCGTTGCATAGAACGGTCATGGCCCAGACCCCATAGAAAACCAGTCACATGATAGTTATCCTGCCAGTCCATTTGTGCGCTGACTGTTGCTTAGCAATGAGCTATGAACATTCATCCTATTGTTGCATGTGCATATTGGAGGGTGTCTGTCGAGCTGTTGCCTGGCAATGAATTGACATGTCACAATACAGTTACATAAAGCGGAAGGATGTAACGTGAGACTGGACAAAGTTGCATAAAGCTAGTGTTCATAGTTCATATTCTTCACAACATTTTACTAGAATGATCAAATGATGGATGCTAATGTGAGCAGGGCACATAGTACACCTGGGAGAGATCAGAAATATATACAGTATGACCCACCCTCATACATATATACAGTATATATTTATGTATGAGGGTGGGTCATGAAATCCAATCCTTGCACCGCAACCTTAAATGATCTAATGTACTTCCCCTTTGATTAACCCTTTATTAATTCTACACTTCGAATGAAATGTAGGACTTTATTTAATGTATACAGAATCTTAATTGAAAGAGCTGCTGGTCACGGTAGCCGAGCGGTCTAAGGCATGCACTGTCTTTGCTCGCTCGGAAGTCGGGATCGTGGGTTCGAATCCCACTCAGGGTATGGATGTTTGTGTGCGTTTTTCTGTGTTTGTCTGCAAGTAGAGGCCTTGTGACGAGCTGATCACTCGCCCAAGGAGTCCTACCATATGTGTAAGATCTAGTAAACTGAAGTGAAACGGAGAGTTTCATGGAGGTAGGCCTAGGCCCAAATTGGGGCTGCAGCACCACAGGGAGGAAAAAAAAAATTGAAAGAGCTGCTGGGAAGAGATATTTGAGAGATGTAGGTGTAAATAGTAGGATAATATTGAAACGGATCTTAAAGCAATGTTTACAAGGGTGTGGACTGGATTCTTTTGGCTCAGAATAGGGGTTGATGCTGGTTTGTTGTGAATGTGGTAATGAAACTTAAGGTTTCATATGGGAGTATTAGCTTAAGAACAGCTCTGATTCATGGAGTTAGTATGTAATTATATAATTTGAATAGAAATAACATGTAACTATTAGGGATGTGCAGTTCTTTGCTAGTCTGTAAATGTCTTTGCTATTCTTTGTGGTTATTGTGTTATCCTTGGATGGAGACCTGCCCCTTACGAGGCTTTACCTACATACGAGTAAGCAGAGAATAAGCATGAACATACAACCATGTCCTGAGTAAGGCCTGAGTCAACCATCCCACTGTTTGAGCAGTTTAAGACCAGGTGTGCTTCTGACCATTCAGCCACTGTGACCAGTGGTGTCTATATTTTCATCCAGAAATTAAGACCCTCGGCATATACAAATGGCTGCCTCCCAATAATCTACTGATTAACATTTTTATTCCTCTATTGCTAGCTTTCCACAGGCCTGCATTGTGGCTCGAGCATATAGCCATCCTGTAGATTGGGGAGGAGCCCTGTATCAGCACTGCATTGTTCAGGGAGACGTGAGCTACCTCACAGACTTCATGTACAACATGCCTCTTACTTCAGCATTGGTGGAAGATGTGGCCAGAAGGTTAGTTTTCATGTAATAAACTTACTGCACTGGTGGCACCTTCCTGCCTTAGCTTAGCTGTCAGAACATTTGAACTTCTCTGCAAAAAGCATCTTCATATTGAAATTGGTGCTATACTGTTGCTACAAAACAAAATACAGTGTGGACATGAAGTTCTATAGGCATGAATGGTTGTGTCCTGAAATTTTGTTTGAAAGCCTCATTTGGACCTTGAGGTTCGGTACGACAAATACTGTTATAAACAGTGGCTACATTGCAGGCCACAAGAGCCTTTTGATCTCATACACAAACGGATATAAACTAGATTTGCAATGACTAAGAACAAGGCGAGTAATATTAGTAATGGAACAAAACAGAAAAACATCAGAATATTACCAAAATTGTTTTTCTTTCCTATCAGTTTTTTATTGCTAGTGGGGTGGGACTAAGTCCCTTGTACTGTGGCCACTTCTGGCCTATTGTACCAGCGCTATCAGTTACTTGAACTGCTTTGGAAGTGATGTTTCTTGAAGAAAATATATTTGATTATAGGACAGTGGGACTTCTGGGAACTTTCCAGGGCCATAGATGATGCTGGTTCCTCTAGGGCATAGGTTCAAACTTGTCAGTGTGCAAAAATCGACATTCATATGACATTATTAATATGTTAAGCTTTCTCAAACACTACTACAACATACTACATTATTTTAAAATGGTTGTGAGTAGTGCAGTCAGTATAGTGAGTAGGCTATGGACTGAATGATCAGAGTTTGATTCCTGGCAACAGCAGAGATTTTTTATTTTCATCCACATCCAGACCAGCTCTGGGTCCTACCTAGCCTTCTATGCAGTGGGAATTAAGAGCTTTTTATTCAGGAGTAACATTGCTGGGTTTTGAAGCCGACTGCTCACCTGCATGTGGTGTTGATGTTAGGAATATGTGGAGCTATACTTCTATTCCCAAATATGGTTTCATGGCATGATGTTTTTGTGCTGAGATTGTTTATAACGTTGTCAGAAATATTGCAGATTATTGGCTTGACTTATTAAAGTTGTCTTTCTTTATGTTGCCAAAGTCTGGAGTTCTTGAGACCAAAAATGGCTGCCATTTCTTAATGAGAAGTCTTCTTCATAGTACTGAAAAGTTTAAAAGCACAAGGAAAACTTAATCTTTGTCTGTTTAATCTATGATAATTTATAGTGAACTCTCATGGCATGGTGCAAAACATTGATTAAGTAGTGAGAAAGGTAGCCACCCAACTACATGGGTGCTAATGTGCTATTTCATACATTCTCATGCCTAACCTGATGATATGTTTCGGCTGGATGGGTGGATCATTCCAGTAGGGCTGTGTTTCTTTTAAAATCACATTAGTCTTGTATGGGTCCATTTATCTATCTTACTTTCTTCAAGCAAGTTGTATATATTACAAATATAAGTACTTTCTCTGCCTAGGGTACTCTTGCTTTTCTTGCTAATATTACAAAATATTGTAGCTAAAGAACTAGAACCAGTCAGATTAACAAATTTAAGTTTACTCATTCAATTGATGAAAATACTGGAAATCCGGATTTGAATCACATCCAAAATGTCTACTGCAATACTTGCTTATGGCTTTAATAGTCATTGCTACTATACATATTGCAAATAATACAGAATAAATGCTTTATGCTACTATTTGGGCTTTTGCAGAAAACAGGAAGTTGAACAGTTAAATGTTTGTACACATACTGTATATTAAGTAGTTCTTCCAATGTTCACAAGGAAATGGTATAATGAACAATTTGCCGAAGGTGTAAGGAAGGAAGGAAAGAATTTGTTGTTTATCATATCACGTTTCAGTACACAACCTGGAGCTGTGAAAATGAAGTCCCTCATTACTTTTAGAGGTTTATGTAGCACTAAACAATCTATATGCATTTGGAGAGCTAGATTCAGACCTCAGCTAAGCCTCCAGTTGTCCTGACTAAGGGGCAACACAGTCTCCTGCTTCACAGAAATGCCAGTTTGTACCTACAGATAAGCCATAACCACCTTCTTCCAAATCCTTACATGCTTACTTTTTCATCGCATATGATGCTGTGTATCCTCTGCAGAGACTGAGTAACTATGAAATCCTTGTGTGGGCAATTAAACAGCCGACTGGCTTTTTGGGTCTGCATTATGGCTCTTATGACCCACCATTTTCACAGACCAGTAGGACATACACTTGGAAATCAAAGAATATAAATATAAAGAGCCTGTGCATTAACAGTAAACAGTTTCCACAAGCTAATGATATGGAATTCGTACTTTCCTGCTATCTGTGAATGACCATCGAAAATAAAATGCCAGAGATAACTGAAACATTTTATAGACAAGACACATTATTGCCAGTTATGGAGTGCTGTTAACTGTCACAGGCTCACCCAACATTCCCACACAATAGGTCAGTTGCACAGGATATACTGTATAGCATGGGTTGATGTAATTAACATATTTTTATAAGATCAAAACCTCGTAATCAAGTTTATAACTGCTCGTCTTTTGAATGAGGTGTATATTGGTAGTTAATGACGTAGCACACATGTTTGATGGTCATTTCCTGTGGCCAAAATTAGTTTGCTGGTGACTGCGGACATTTCTAATTACTTGTTATGGGCAGTACTTTGCTACAGAGATCGATGGGCTGTCACTTACTGCCTACCTTGTGACTCTTCCACCTGCACTGGAGACACCTCAGTCATTATGCTCTAAAACTTCCCTGTCACAATATATATATAACGAAGGTAAAGGTTGGAGATTGGGCACCGCTGAGTTAGGATAATACTTAGAATGAGGTGGACTATGGGTGCAAGTTGGAATTCGGTTGCCAACTATTCAGTTTGGTAAAGATGGACTCAGTCACACTTACACAAACTCTTAAAAATATTTTGTGTTGAATGTCTTTCAAACATACACTACTACAAGACCATATAGGAGAATATGAAGCTACCAGCATATGAACACTGTGTCATTCTTATTACAAAACCACACACACACAATATAGGAACTGAACCTACAAGCACATATCACATTCTCAACCCCATAAAACTAATACAACACAAATACCACTATCCATGTTTATATATTTTGCAAATTTTATATGTAACAACAATACTTATACTTATACTAATATTATACTCAATACTTATATTTACATAAACTCTTTAAAATTTTATGACATTTAACAATGGATCTATTTAACCAAACAATGCTGCAGTAATGTGTTATATTTATTTATACACACCTGGTGATGGTCTCCAGACCGAAAAATACAGTGTGACAGTTACAATAAATTGATTGTTATACTTGTATTATATGTATGTTCCAGTCATTTATGAAATTATAATCAACCCATTTATTGTGTTGATTGACCCAGTACCAGTAATTGTTATATACAACAGGATGCAGAAGGTAAAAGTAAAGGAAAATAAACTTGTAATCAAGACAACTTTATCTAATGGGTAAAAGGCCCCTTGATTTTAGGGTCCTCCATCTAGCAAGTGACAGTACTGTAAACTTAAACTTTCCCAGATTTTTTCCAAATATCTCAAGGATATATTTACAGACTTCTTTAACTTAAGAGATGATACATTTTAATGATGATATCATTTCTTAAAGTCAAAGACAGAAACAAGTACCAGTCCAATATGCAGGGTTCAAATTATTGTTTTCTGTTGTCGTTTGTAAAATTTTGTAAGTCTTTAATGGCCAGTTCAGCTTGCAAGTTCATTTAAAGTACTTGGGGTGGACATACAAAGGACCTACAAAGCATATGTTTCTTACTACAGGGTTCTGACGATGGTGTATAACACACTGATATATTGGGTTTCTGGACTTTATCCATCGTCCTAGTTTTTAAGATAACAAAAACACGACGTTTCGGAAACTGGATCTGTTTCCGTCTTCAGGTGAAGGAAAAGGGGGACACCTATTCTGTTGGGTCCGTTAGAAAGAGCTAGCCTCAATCACTGTCCCCCTTTTCCTTCACCTGAAGACGGAAACAGATCCAGTTTCCGAAACGTCGTGTTTTTGTTATCTTAAAAACTAGGACAATGGATAAAGTCCAGAAACCCAATATATCAGCATATGTTTCTTCTTACATTGGCCATTTGGCATTTCATACTTATGGTTTGAATGTATCAAATGTTAAGTACAGTGCTTTGAAAAATAATTATGTATTAATCTTTCCTTTCTCACTTTTAATAATACAAATACATTTGTACTGGTATCAAATTGTGAGGTTCTTTTTTAAAACGAGTATGGCTCACCATTTCCTTAAAGCAGCTCTGCTTGTAGCTTAATTTCATTATAAGCTGGCTGTTAAATGTAGAGATAATGAGGAACATTTGGAGGAGCAATAAATTGCATGTGGCAAAGGATCCAGCACAGATACTACTTGTAATTGTGTTGTTCTTCTCAACCAGATTTCAGCTGGAAGCAAATATTACCCAAGAGATGGCTCAGCAGATGAAGAAATTTGTGTTGGGAATATCAGATGTTGAAATTAAATATCGTGTGGCCAGTCAGATGGGCTTCCGAGATGTCATCGAGAGCTTACTGAATGGTCCAGAGCTACCATACCTGAAAGACACGGTATGGCAGAGTGGATTCAACAGGCATCACAACTACCTTCAGTGAGAGCCACATATTATATGTATAAACAATTATGTGTTGTTTTGCATGAGCTGAGATAGCTGTCTTTAAGTGACCAGATATGGACTGTGATTTGATTCCTGGGAAGGGTAGGATTTTTGCTTTGCCAGATATCCACCCCCAGCTGTGAGGACAGATTCCCCTCATATCCAGTGGATACTGTATATGAAGCTTAAATGTTTTTCTGCTTGATAACTTGGTAAATATTTATCAAAGCCAAAAATATTTTAAACAGACATTATAGATAGAGTGAAACATGTGTTTTATATTTGGAACACTTTTCTGTAAGCCTTATCGCTTTCTTGATTTTAGAATTTTGTAAAAGTGTGACTCTTGAGATGAGAACAAGAATTTTTTCACTGTAAAAGTTTATAAGCACCAGCTGCTTCTTCAGTACACTGCTATTGTATTTACTTGAATGCAAGATGTAACGTAAGATAACCCTGCATTGGGAAACATGTCTACACAGAGGAAGTACTACTCTGCCCAAAAAGTATCCGACCTTGGGCCAGGAAAACAAAGTTCTGTATCTGGGTGGTTACAATACCTAATCCCCTTCAAAGTAGGCCCCTTGTGACTCCACACACTTAGCCCAGCAGTCCTTCCAACATTGGAAGCAATTCTGGAAGGCTTCTTTTAGAATGGTGTGCAGCTATGCCATCATGTTCTATATGATGTCCTCGCGGCTGTCAAAATGGAAGCCTTTTAGCAGTGTCTTCAGTCTGGGGAACAGCCAGAAATCACAAGGAGCCATGTCAGGAGAGTGGGGAGCCTGGCGAACCTGCAGAATGCCGTGCTTGGCCAGGAAACCCTGGATCAGGTGCGATTAATGAGCTGTGGCATCATGATGCAGCTGCCAGTTGCATGCATCCCACAGCTCCAGTCTCTTGCGCCGAACTGCATCACAAAGGACTTCTTGGTAAGTACTCCTTATTGACAGTTTGGCCTAGTGGTGTGTACTCATGATATACAACACCCCGGTAATCGAAAAAAAAAACGGTCAGTATCACCTTCACATTGCCACAAACCTGTCGTATGCTTCCATTTTGACACCTGGACCTTGCTTTCTAGGTCATATCCATACACCCACAACTCATCACCAGTGATCAATCTTCAGGAACTCAGGATCCTGTATGTCCTGCGCGACCTCAAGGTGGAGTTGTTGCTGCTCCGATGAAAGCAGCTTGGGCACAAATTTTGGCATCACTCTTCGCATGCCCAAATCCTCAGTTAAAATTGTGTTTGTGGAACCTCTGCTGATCCCAACCTCATAAGCAACTTCCCAGATGGTCAAACGACGGTCCTCCATGATCAGTGTCTGCATATTTTCAATGACATCAGCATTTTGGCTCATTGACGGTCTCCCAGAACGCTGGTCACTGTCCACCAACATATGGCCATCTTTAAAGCGGTTGAACCACTCTTTAATTTGAGTTCCCCCATTGCATCATTGCTGAAAGCCTGCTGAATTTTGCGGATTTTTTTCCGTTTGGGTATCCCTAAGTTTCTGACAAAACGAGAATGTGACTGAGTACGTGTTACATCACTTCACTATCTCGCAGCCACAGACACATCCAGCGGCGTTGTGAGTCAGCAAAAAATCACGCCTGTGCATGAAAGTCCCTTCTACCACTACGCTCAGTTTCCCCACCCATTTGGCCTTTACTTACAGCGGCAAAAAATAAAACCGGATACTTTTTGGACAGCGGTATAATTTTATGAATTAATATCCTCCTCTTACTACAAACCTATGAAAGAAAATAAATATTAGAGAGCATGTTATTCATGAAATTTATTGAATTCGTTTCCTTCTTGAAATCACTAGCCTTTACTCAGCTTCACCATTGTTACTGTTCACCATTCCAATAATCAGTTTCACCTTCATTGTCTTTACACTTCCCATCTTCAGTCTCATACTCATTGCCAACATTCCAATCTTCTTCCTCATCCTCAACTCCATTCATTTCATCAGATATGCAGCACCTTTTATATCCGGTGCCATGGTGTTGACCTAGACCGGCACAGTAGTTGCACACTAGGCACTACACTAACCATTGTAGTTATAATTGTTAGTGTGATAGACCAGAATGAAACAAATAAAAAATGCCGACTCTTTTTGTAATTGATTTCACTTTGTTGTTTTATCTCAAAATTTCAAGGATACTTAAGTGGGCCAAGAAGCAAGCAGATTTGATGCATGGTGCGACTAAATTAACAAACAACCAAAGAAAGATTATATAGCATATTTTCTTACAAAGAAATTGAGCACTTGAAGAAGTATGTATATGTTATAACCTAAGTGTCTGGTAGACCCAACTCCCTTGCAATTTTGCAGATCTTTTCTATCTGAAGCAACTGTGTGAAGTTAAGTCACCTTGTTTCTGCAGTCCACCTTCTGATATACACGCACAGTGAGGGTGGTGTTCTGTTCACATTCCCCCACATACTACTGTGTTTAGCCACTGTGTGAGTTTGTACACAGTTTTGAAAGATTATTTCAGATTCTTTCTTGTTATGTTTTGTAACTAATGATTATACATGAATGCCATACAACTACAATGGGCTTACCTCTACATATGCAACATTATTTTCTACCTTTGTAATGTATCATTGTTCTCACAGATATCTGGATAAAGAATGAAAAATCTTAGAACAAACAAAGATGACATCTATTCAGAATCTGTTTCCAGAATAGCCATTGCAGTTTCTTCAGTATTTGCATCCTCATCTGTAACAACAACCACGTTAACCAGTAGAATTCATGGCATACTGGTCGAATGAACTGATGCAGTTCCAAGGGCTTCTTACACTTAGGAAGTTTAGTTTCTTGGCTGTCCTTCATAATGTGGTGGAGGGTGAACTTTTAGGGATGTTCTACTGAGGTCAGTAACGTTGAAGTGCATGGCTACAATGAGAGCCATTTTGTTGAAGAACTGCTATGGTGAGTTCTCTTTGAAATGGAACCAGCCAAATTTCCTTCACTGAGGCTATGATGATTGAAGGCACTAATACTCAAAATGTAATACAGTAATATGGTATATGAGATGCATAGGAAATCCAATTTGCAACATTGCGTAAAACTGGCTTTATCATGGATCAGTATGTCTCAGAGTTAGAAATATCCTAAATCTTTCAGAGAGGAATCCGTGATATCCAACTTCAGCAAAATCTGTGAAACACTGTACATGCGCCATTTTACACAAGGTGGTTGACAATGGAAGACTCTGTAGAACAACATATAAAAACAGTGTTGTTCTTTTCTGAAACAGGAAATGCCGTGGTCATACAGAGGCAGTTTCGTAACCATTTTCAAACATGATGGGCACCTTCATTCAAAACAATTCATAAACTTTATAACCAGTTTAATAATGATAGTTCAGTGTTTGAGAGGAAACTCTGTTAGACTTCATCTGTGTGTTCTCCGGAGAACATTGACACTGCTAGAGTGGCATTGCAAAGAAGCCCCAGTAAGTCGAGAAGGAAGGCTGAAGCACAACTAGGGACATTCAAACGATCGGTGCAACGAATACTGAAAAGTGATTTGAATATGTATCCATACAAAATGACAGCTGCCTAAATTTAGAGTTCAAAACAAGCTTGAAAGAATGGCATTTGCTGAATGGACTCAGAATAGTGAGGTATCATTCAACAATGTTTGGCTTTCTGATGAGGCACCCTTCCACTTGGATGGCCTGGTTAAAAAACAAAATGTGTGATATTGAATGTCAGAGAATCCATGTGTAATCCACAGGAAGGTCATCGTGCACCGAGAATTACAGTGTGGGTCACAATCTCAAGTCATGGACTGCTAGGGCCAATTTACTTTTAAGAGACAATGAACAGTGAGAGCTATTTAAGCATGTTTTGCAATACTTTTGTGCCTTACCTTCTTGCTACACACAGCGAATGTTGTTTTGGGCTTTCTGCATGACACTTTTGACTCACATGTCATCTCAAACCTATTTCTTGACTGTTTTTCATGTGGACAGAAGTGGCCCCCGAACAGTCCTGATTTAAACTCACATGACTACTTTCTTCAGGATTCCTTAAAGAAAAGATTTTTCCAAAAAAAGGCACAAACAATAATAGAATTGAGAGCACTAATCATTTAGGCCTGCAATGAAATAACTGAGGGTATGTGCCGTCAAGAAATCAACAAGATCAAAATGTGTGTTGAAGAAGTTGCCAGACATATATGAACACTTGATTTGCAGAGGATAAATCTCCATGCAATTGTCTTTCTTTTTGTATATTAGTTTCAAGTACTGTAATTGAAATAAAGATTTTATCATCAGATCAAATACTGGATCATTTCGTGCACCACCGTGTACACAAGAAGAAATGTCACAAACCTTCATTGGAAGTATCTGAATTTCCTTAAACTGCTTCTCAATTTTCAAGGCTCCTCAGAAGTAATGTAGACTTAATAAAAAAACACAGTTATAAGAAATAAATTAAACCAAGAGAGCAGGAGAACACAAAGAGTCAGAGGAAGCTAAGTTGTTAACTGTAATTTAGGTCAGAGTGTGAAGAGTAGCTGGAATGTACAGCAGATGTTTCTAATGATGAGAGTGGCAAGCTATCAGTAAAGGAAGCAATGCCTTTTACATGGAAAAGAATATCAATGAACTTCATGTACAAATTCTTCTCAGGTTCTTTTCTGAAAGAAACAATTGGATAGTCATGTTTGTTGACCCAAATGTTTGCAATTCCTTAATAACTTGAGGCAATTCAGCCATGATGATGAAGGCCCTAGTATCAAAATTCTTGGTCACAAGTATATACCACTAAATTAATGACTTTGCAATATATCAGTTCTGTATGATACCGCTAAGGTCTCTACATATTTGGCCTGTACATTTCCATTGTCTGACAAGAAACTGGAACAAACCATACAATAGAAGGACACTATTTCTTCTGGGCTGTGATACAGCATAGTCTGGTAGAAATTCACCATTTTGGAGGAACTTACTAACTCAATTTTCAGGGTTGAAGAGTAAACCAGAAAAACAGCAGGAAGCGGTAAGTAAACTAAACACTCTGCTTGCTGTTTGCTTTTTGTCCAACAGCAAACCAAATCACAATCTTTAATAAAAGTCATTTTTTTACTCGCCATTCTGGTTTTGTACTATATATATATTGTAACATAAAAAACAAAACTTAAAAATGTTCTCTTAATATTAAAAATATATTGAAACTCCTCTTTAACCGATCAAACATGACATAAATTTACATGAAACCTCGAACTATATTCTTCCGCCGTAAGAGATTAAGAGGAAGTTCTTAAACCGGAAGAAATCCTGTCTACAGCAGACAGCTTCTCTGCTACCACAATGGCATGGAAACACAGCGCGTTAAATTTATGAAAAATTACTGATATAATATATACATTGCACTTGCATCAATGTTAGCTTAGTACAGATGAGTTTCTTTTCTCTCTGAGTTTATTCGTTATAAGGCAGCGAAATATTGTGTCAATGATAAAGATATCCATTATGTTGGCAATGGTTGGTCCCAACGGTCCCAACCTATAAGGCCTGGTCATTGGTTATTAGTTGCCTTTAGTTGCTACGAGAATGTAACAGAACTTCGAATTGGCTAAGATACTTGTATACGAACCGTACGGAATATGTGCTCCAGAAGTGGCGTGGTATGACTGTTAGAAGATAGCATGGCTCGTTATAATATGGGTAACGTCATAGTATTTCATTTCATTTATTTACATGCCACAAATCCAAGGTCATAGGACCCAGGATGAAGACAGTATATGCTCCCAATATCCCACATCATTTTGTGTTGCTGATGTACTGTGACATGAACGCGAAAGTCGAAATAGTGGAAGCAGTAGAGACGGTCGTTGTTAGGCAACGGTACGACAAACACGCATCCGCTGCATTAGATACTGACGCAGCTGTAGAGGACGCGGTGTTTTTAGTGCAGTCGGTTGTGACAAAGGCACTACAGACACGTTACCGCAGCAGCGAGTCAACACGCAACAATACAGGAGCGGTTGGAGGCATTTTCTGTGTGTCCGTTTCGAGGCCATAAAGTGGGGACCAGCAAGCAATTGCAAGTGAGGGTTGGCGGTTTGCAGTTGACCTTGAGGAAACTCCATTGCAGCCAAGAATTGTAATATGAGAGTTGGAGAAAGATTTCCTGTTCGAAGAGAAACCATGGTGGGCGTTTTGTGCCTGTTTGGGCGAGAAAGAATATATTTGCCTTCAGCCCTCGATTTACTGGCTCAGAGAAAATATTTTATGACATGATTTGTGTTAATTTTCATGGTCCATATGGTCAGTTTACTAGATGGCTATAGATAGTATAGCAGTTGGCCATTTTATGAGTTAGAATGATAAATTCGACAAAGATGATGTGGGAAAGTCATGTAGCATGGATGTGAGAACAAGAAATGCATAGATCCAGACAGTAAATGTAAATGAATGAGATCACTTCAGAGACCTATACATATAGGGTAGGATAATATTAATCATTTTCATGCCATGAACTGATTAGATTAGCATGATGTACCCATGTTAAAATTGCCACAGCTGAGGAGATTGGCTCAATGTTAATCACATAGGAGATCATTTCTCTCAACAGATTGGATTGGCAAACCTTTCATTTAAACAAATTTGCAGAAGTATTGACAGTTTTTGTTAAACTGCATCCCCCCAGCAGTCAGATTTTAAATTTTATTCTTGTCCTGGGACTAGTCACAGGGTTAAAACAGTATTCACTCACCAGACATAAACACCACAGCCACTAAACATGGCTTAGTGACAACATAGTTGCATTGGTTGTTTTACAGGACCATACAGGTTCAGGGAACATACAAGGACTGTTTACTGAGATATGCCAAACATCTTCTCATGATGCATATCAAGCCATCAGTATAAAAGCTGAGGCACTGTCAGATTTGGAAGAAGAGGAGGATCCTGTCCCAACAACGTTTCCAGGAGGAATAAAGGTTGAACCTGAGGTGAGCTGTTTCTCTGTGTCCGCATTAGGTGGATTTCACAAATACAGGTATTCCTTGTTTTACAGACTTTGCTACAGTGAACAGCTTGCATTTGTAAGAAGTTCTTTTGCAGAAGCAGAGAAGTACATACACAGCACAGGGCAGGTGGGGAGAAGCAGGCATCACCACCTGCCTGTACCTCTTCTAATCATACAGAATCAGCTATGCTGTGTAGTCTGTGTCCATCATGGCTCCCTAACAGGAGAAAGTGGCTCTCAGAGGTGTTGATAAACCAAAAAGAGAAAGGAAAGCAATAGGTTTGCCTACAAAGCTGGAAATAATGAAAGGGACTGAAGGAGGACAGTGATACAAAGACATATGTACTGCCATGATAATGAAGCTGCTTTATTTCGTTGAAACAGCTGTGAGAAAAGAAATATGATTAAAATAAGTTTTATTTGCAACAGTAAATACCCAAAATAAGTAATGAAGTCCTCAATTTTATGCTTATTTACTACTATAACAAAGGGACACATGGTAGCATAGTTGGTTGAGGCACTATGCTACAAGCTGGAAGGTCGCAGGTTCAAGTCTTGATGAGGTCATTGGATTTTTTCAATTGACCTAATCCTTCCAGCTGCACTATGGCCCTGGGGTCGACTCAGTCTCTAACAGAAATGAGTACCAGGAACCTTCCTGGGGGTAAAGGGCGGCCAGCATATAAGTCTGACAACCTCACCGCCATCTTTGAGCTGATTGTCTAGAAAATGTGGGGGCCTCAGTGTCTCACAACCCTATGGGCCAGGGATAGCTTTACTTTTACTACTATAAAAAAAGGTAAAAATGGGGGGGGGGGTCCTTCACTCTGAATGAGCTGGTGACATTTACATGTAAAGTAATGGGAATATCAATTTTGATTTATGAAATTTTACCTTATGAACAGTCTTGAGATTTAAAAGTTTTAATTCTATGGTAGGACTAGGCAGTCAGAGGGTTAAAACATAATTGCATTGGTTGTTTTACAGAACCCTACAGATTCAGAGAATGTACAGGGTCCGTGTACTGAGATATGCCAAGCATCTTCTCGTGATGCATATCAAGCCATCAGTATAAAAGCTGAGACACTGTCAGATGTACGAGAAGAAGAAGAAGAGGAGGATCCTCTCACAATAAAATTTCCAGGAAGGAAGGCTGAACCTGAGGTGAGCTCTTCCTCTGTGTCCATGTTAAGTGCATTTCACAAATATAGGTATCCCTCCTTTTACAAACTTTTGCTACAGTGAACAGCTTACAGTTGTAAGAAATTTTTTTGTGAAAGCAGAGAAGTTCATACACAGCTCGGGGTAGGCGTGGAGAAGCAGATATCACCTGCCTGCATCTCTCACCATCCCAGTCTGTCCATGTTCCCTGTTCTAATCATACAGAATCAGCTGTGCCCCTGATGCTTACATTTAACCCATAAATATCTGTGTTCTTTGTGCCCATCATGGTTCCCTAACAGGAGAAAGTGGCTCTGAGAGGTGTCAATAAACAAAGAAAGAAAGGAAAGCAATACATTTGCCTACAAACCTGGAAATAGAAGGACAGTGATACGAGACATATGTTCTGCCATGATAATGAATCTGCTTTATTTTACTGAATCAGCTGTGAGGAAAGGAATATGATTAAAATAATAAATTCCATTTGCAGCAGTAAATATAAAAAGAAAAAGTAAAGGAGTCCTCAGTTATATGCTTATTTACTACTATAACAAATAATACAAAATTGGGGAGAGGGGGGGGGGCAGTCTTATCTGCGACCCATGAATGAACTGGCCAGTTTTACATGTAAAGTAATGGGAATATCAGTTTTGATTTATGAAATTTCACCTTACAAACAGTTTTCATGGAATGAATTTCCTTCGTGAAACAAGGTATACCTTCATGTAGAATTGAGTCTTTCTGATTGTCTGTGCACATGAAACAGCACTGTAATCACTGGATTTTGAAGAGCATTTTTTTAAATGTCTCAAGACTGTTATTATCTGTTTAATATTATTTGTAGTGTGCCATTTCCATTTTATCTGAAGGAAATCTGATTTTCTTGAAGTTAAGTATTGTGTAAACTGAAGAATATTTTAGATAAATTCTATAACAGCAGAAATCGTGCACAATTTCCTTGTCCATCCGATCAAGTAAGCTTTGATTTGGTGCCACATTATAGAGTTCCCAAAATCTATAAATGATGACGATTATGATTTATTTGTTTTCTAACTTCAATGCAATCTGTAGCCATATAATAAGAGAGAGATGTCATTATGCTGAGGATTTGTAACAGGATAAATAATGATTCTCTAAAGATATGTGACAATTATTGACAGATTATGTTGAACATTGCCCATTGTGTGATTATGTTTCATATTGTGGCGTATTTACGCCATGCAAGAATTGTTGAGTGACAGAAGTCTGTAAACATGACTATTATGCAACAATAAGGAAAGCAGTGTTTTCTCCGAGCCGCATCCGCTGGTTGCTACGCCGCATTGCAGCAAATATCTGTTGGTAGCGTTGCCTAGCAATACCTCTATAAACAGGGCATTACCCAACAGATGGCAATCTACATTTTCTACCTGTCTGAGGGTTTATAAGAGAACAGGGTCAAATACCTCCACCGTGACCCTGCGAGTCGTAGGAGGTGACGAAAAGGGGAGTCTCAAATCTGAGACAGTAATATATGGTTGCAAATAGCAAGGGACTTGGACCTGAGAAAGACTGCGCTGGCAAGGGCCAGCAGCATATACAAAAGACAGGCCTGTCCTCTCATCAGAGAGAGCTCTCCACAAAACAAGACCGTAACTGTCAAAGAGTAAATCTGGGACTCGACACCAAGACTTACTGACTGACTGTCAGTCGCAATTTGACTTTGAATTTGACTTTTGACTAAGGAGTCAGTCGAAGAAGTTAGTCAGAATTAGTCAGTTCTCAGAGTGAGTGCGAGATAGCCGCAAGAGAAAGAAGACCTGAACGTAAGATTAGAAGATATCATATGTATAAATCAGCGATAGCACTGGATTTAAGTGTAATTAAGATAGAGTGTGTAACCAAGTGCTAATAAATCCCATCATCCAAACTAGAAGCCATCATTTCATCACGCATACCCCCCTTTCACTTCACAATTACTTGACACTTCGGGAGTTGCCTCTGTTCCTCCTGACTCATTTTTGATGTCATGGTTAGTGGCCCTTCCAGTAATATACACACTTAGCGGCCTTTGTAGTCTAGGGGTAACGTTCCCACCTCATGACTCAAGGTACGCAGGTTCAAACCTGGCGGAGATTGTGGAATTTTTAAGGGTGGAAAAATTCAGGGAACAAGTCCTCTGGGAAGGATTTTAAACCGTGTGTCCCGTGTTGTAGATTTACGACACGTAAAAGATCCTCATGTCTCTAGGAGTCCTTTGAGCAAAATTAGGCAAAGTTTCCCGCCCAAGTAGTTTCCAATTCCTCCGGTAGATGGGGAAGTATCTGGGACCACTGCCAGAGAGGGCCAGCCTCGCTGGCAGAATGGGGCTGATAGTGAGCACCAGTACTGGAAGGGCATGGTGACTGGTAGGATATTAAAGGGGGACGCACAATAGATTAATAACTAGTCACAGTGCATGGGGAAACCCACCCCCTCCAATAGTAATAATAAATATACACACTTCATCCCATAGCTGAAGACCATGGTATGGTAGTCATTAATAGATGGAAGAGATTTGTCAAGCTTTCACAGCAACTACAGACTAAGTCTGCATACGACTGACAGAGAGCAAAAATTACTACTGTGTGGGCAATGGGTTTGAAACCACGAGAAGGATTAAGACCACTGCATTGGTTTATGCTGAACGGGCAAACTCTCCTCCATACTTCCCCAATACAGAAGAGACAGTAATTTTAGTGTAAGCTAAGTTGTCAGATGATGGTCACATACAAATCTTACGTGTGATGATTTTACTGCCCACGTCTGTTCGTTTCTCATGACAGAAGATATCGCTTTAAGAATTAACTCTTCTATCCAAAATGTGAATATCTTTATCAACTTGTCATAACACAGTCTTCTCAGTCAGTCCCTTAACCATATTAAATTTGACAACAGTGCAACATCAAAGTGACCATTAGTAATAGAGAGTGTTGGGTGTTTCTTCCCATTACTGGATGGAAACACTGTCTCAAGTCATGGATCATATATTTTTCCTGGATCAGAAATATGATAGTGACACTGTAGCTTCAGATAGTGTAAGTGAAAAATATGTGAATTTTTATCACCTGCCTGAAAATGGTGAATGATGATAATGAAGCAATATGGGTGGCCTTAGTGATCGAGATTTTGAATGGGAAGGCATGTAACATTATAGGGGGCAGAGGGACTTTCCACTGTTGGATGTCAGTTGCAGAATGTAACAAAGGATACAGTATTTAAGACAGAAGATACAGCAATGCAACAGGATTCTCAAATACAATGGTATCTACTATTTGTTAAATGATGGCAGCTGAACTGTATGACAAGACATATAAAGTGCTATCAGAAAGTTCCCAGACTGGGTCGAAAAAGAAATGCTGACTTAACTCACTCAATTTTGGCTGTCATCTCCTTCAAAATATTATCCTTGGGAATGTATATAGGAATCCCAGTGCTTCTTCTGTGCTTCAAGAGCATCATGGAAATCATTCTTCTTAATGCTCTTGAATCTTGTCTACTATTCCCCTTGGATGTCAGACACTGTTTCAAAGTGTTATCCCTTCAGTTTCATTTTAAATTTGGGAAACACAGCAAAGTCCGGCAAGTAGGGAGGATGGGGAACAATAACCATATTGTTGTTAGTCACAGACTCTGTGGTTTTCAGGGACATGTGGGCAGGCACGTTGTTGTGATGAAGGAGCCACTTGTAGTTGTGCCAAATTTCTGGTCTTTTTCGTCGCACATTTTCTCTCAAGCATCTCAAAAAGTCACAGTTGAGCATAGTGTGACAAATTCTTGGTAAACAGTCCTCTTCAAATTGGAAGAACGATGAGCATGGTGTTTGTTGAACTCCGGATCAGCCCCGCCTTTCTTGCTCTTGGTGATTGTGGGTTCTTCCACTACAACGATTGTTGCTTTATTTCTATATCATAATCATAAATTCAACTTTTGTCACCTGTTACGATCTTAGAGATAAAAGTTGGGTCCTCGCTAGCCTTGGTATTGGTATCTCGTGTATTGTTTGAAATATGAGATTGTGTTTTTTATGTGTGTGTCATTCTTGTGTAGGCCTTTCTTACTTATTTTATATATATTGTAACGTGTCTTGTCACTGAAGACGCCGTAGAGATTGTTAACTGGTTTATTCAACAACCTACAAGTAATGGCTACAATTAATTATAACAATGTTGCGCGGTTTTACACTTTATAACCCTATTCACAATAATCAATTCACTCTATTGTCAGTAGTTAACACGTTTTCACAGTATGGGAGCTAAGTCCAACTGTATCACACTCCCAATTAATTCTCAGTTACACACATGTCCAGTATTTCTTTCCACGACGGCTGCTATATTTCAACTCGACTCACAGGCTGCTACCTTGAGAACTGTTGATAACACACTGGCTCGACTACTACTTAACTCGGCGATGGCCACAGTACACCTAACTTTGCAGGCAGCGCAGCTCTCTTATATAGGGGCTGTGTGGGCCTGTTACATAGCCACGTTGTTACCTCACGCCGTCTTACGTCACCGCGCATTGCGCGTTACGTTACAGTGCGGAGGGGGGGGAGGGGAGCGCCGACTCATCCGCCATGTCACTGTGGCCTGAGTTGCCATGTTGCTGCTGGGTAGGGAGGGGTTCTCCGTTGCGCAACATGTCACAATATGGTATTTCTCTAGTGTATTCAAATGTTTACACTTCTTTCCCATTGTTACAACTTCCATTACGTCTGTTGTTGTTCTGTATGACTGTCCTGTATTTAGTATGTGATTTGAGTATCCGGACTTGCTATTATTATTTCTAATATCATGTATATGTTCCTTATATCTGGTGTTAAGTGTTCGGCCCGTTTGTCCAATGTATTTTAATGGGCAATCTGCACATTTCATTTGGTATATGCCACTTTTATTGTATTTATCCAATTGTGGTTTATGTTTGAGTATATTTTCAATTGTGTTCCGTATGCAAAATGCTACTTTTATCTGTGTGTCTTTGAAAAGTTTCGTGATTTTCCGTACTTCTTTTGTACTATATGCAAATATGGCCGACTTTGTTTTTTGGTGTTCGTCGTCATGTGTGTTTGATTTCTGTTTTCATTTTGTCTGATTTGATCTGTTGATTATGTTTGTGTCGATGTCTACGTAACTGAAAATACACCTGATGATGGCCAGTTACAGTTGAAACATATAGTGTAAAAGAAGAAAAACAAAGAACTACAAATAAATTGTTGCATTTATGGCGGTATTTACTTCTTCTTGCTTTCTAGAATGTTTTTGATGAACTTCGAACTCCACATGGTGAGGAACAGCAATTTTGCTGTGATGTGTGCAATAAGTCATTCATTCAAGAGAGTTATCTGAAGATACATCAGTGCATACGCAGTGATGAGCGACCTAGCTGTGACGTGTGTCATAAGTCATTCAGTGAGCAGAGTGGTCTGAAGAGGCATCTGCGCATACATAGTGGGGAGCGGCCATTTTGCTGTAATGTGTGTAGTAAGTCATTTGTTCAGCAGAGTCATCTGAGGTCACATCAACTCATACATATTGGTGTGCGGCCATTTTGGTGTGACATATGTAAGAAGTCATTCATTTATCGAGCTCATCTGCGGATTCATCACCGCATACATACTGGTGAGCAGCCATTTAGCTGTGACATGTGTAATAAGTCATTCATTGAGCAGAGTAGCCTGAAGAGGCATCAGCGCATACACAGTGGGGAGCGGCCGTATTGCTGTGATATATGTAATAAGTTGTTCAATCAACGAAGTAGTCTGAAGAGGCATCTACGCATACATGATGGGAAGCAGCTGTTTTGCTGTGATGTTTAATAAGTTATTCATTCAAGAGCATTGTCTTAAGACACATGAATGCATACATAGTGATGAGCAGCCTAGCCATGACGTGTGTAATAAGTCAGTCTGTGAACAGGGTAGTCTGAACTGGCATCAGTGCATACCTAGTGAGGAGTGGCCATTTTCTGTAATGTGTGAAACAAGTCTTTCGGCTGACACCTTACTCTGAAGACACATCAATGCTTACTTAGTGGGGAGCAGCCATTTTACTGTGATGTGTGGAATAAGTAATTTGATTGTCACAGTCATCTGAAGGCACATCGACTCACACATGGTGATGTGTGTAGTAAATCATATGGCAGTGGGAATGCAGGAATACGACCTTTTTGATCATGCTGGTTATATCTATTTTCCTTCCTCACAGACTGTAGCCTGATTCAAATGCAGCTTGTCTCCACCAATTAACTAATATGTGCTTAGTTCACAAGAGACAGCTCAGAGTTGGTGTCCATGAGGTGACAATTTTCTGCTGGATGTTTCATACAAGTATAACTCATGTTATAGAGTAATGTATACTCAGATTCATTATCATATGATTTAAATAAACTACTATGAATTAATATAAATATTGTTACGTTTTTTTGTGTGTTACGCGACAAATCTCGGATCTTTATTATGCTTCACTTGTACGATCACACGCTTTACAATTATTATTACTTGCAGTATCACAATTACTGCTGCCACTATATCTCGGTGAATGCTATACTGCTTTCGGCTACGGCCTTCTGATGACTCTGCTTTAGGGAGGCTATTTCCAGACTGTCTTGGAGAATGCATATCCGCTGCCATTGCTACACAGTGAACCTTCTGTTGTCTATCACCGGGGAAACGCTGCTTCGTTGATTCTGGAATTGCTACGCAACGGCCCACTGTTATTGCATTGTCTCTCTGGGAATGCTCCGTGTATTCATCATAACCGTGGAGACTCATTGTAGGCTGTTAACTTCCTATGTGGCTGTTGCGCAGCGATGACCGTAAGATAGCACATTACAATACGATTTCAAAAACCAAAATATCTTCAGATAGCATACAATTTCCATAGCCTTGTTACTGCCTGTCACAGCTCCCACCCTAACAGGCAGCCATGTTCTCTTCGTGTTATTTCATTTGCACAAAGAAGTTCATCTTAGGCAAGCTCTGTGTGTGTTAGATTGTGGCAGAGCATGTCTACACACAACTTGAGCTTGCTTGCTTACTTTGACAGCATTGGACAGAAGTCAAATGCACACAAAATTTTGCTAGAAAAACCTGAATGAATGAGTTGCTTGAACGACCTAGGAATATACATATGGTATTATTAAAAGGTACCTGAAAGAAATAGAATGGGAGGCTAAAGAAAGGCTCAGAGTGAGGACCAGTGGTGGTGATCCTTTGGGTTAAATGATAGATGTGATAGCTGTAGTTTAGCGACTCTCAGCATGTCACAAAGGCTTCTGCAGCGTAGAGTTAGTTTGCCAGTTTCTTAATCATGTTGCACACTTGATGAAGGATATGTTAAGTATACAGGAGAACATAATTATAACACACAATAAAATGGATTGCTCAATCTGTCATTATAATATAAAAATAGAAAAAAAAAAAAAATGCAGTGCAAACCCCATGGGACAAAAGACATCTAGGAAATCCAGACATATATCAAAATTATTACAATCATTATGATGGATGTCCTTACAATTTCAAAATGAAAATCCCCTCTAAGGTGTAATGACATTGCTTACAAGACCCTCAGTTGTAAGTTAAAATTTTGAAACACGCAAGGAAAAGAATTCATTCACAAGCCAAATTCCATCACCATGACACAGACACGAGGATATAGACAGGATAAATTGCAGATATAAGCAACTGTACCCCAGCAATACATAAGGACAGTCACTTCTTTAGCTGGCTCTCATTTATGCCTGCCATTCTTACAAGCACACAGCTATGAATCCTGGAGGCTGAGGCCCCAACAGGGATCTACGTGCTCTGTTTCAGTGGACAATGGAAGCCAAAATCTGAGGGATACAGGCATGCCTACATGTCATGGGGCACAAAGGATGAACCCATCCTACAGACAGACTGACATAATGACAGTGAGACATGCACATGACGAGTATCTCACAGTCAAGTTTCCTGACAGGCAGACTTCAACCCAAGAGAGACGGGGGATTCAACAGGTACACAGGTGGCCCCATGGCAAATGAAGGACTGTGGCCCTTGTGTATGAACTTGATACAAGGGAGAAGCTTGGCTTCAGCCTTGGGACCCGAAAATTATATGATTGTAGAATTCATAAATCTTCTGACTGCAAAATTCATGGTTGCAACATTACTGTAGGAAAACTGCATTTGTCCATCTGCTTGCCTAATTACAACATTACTGATCACATTTTGCATAAATTTGGTGGTGGGGCCTAGAATGAAAATTGTAGTGAACTTAATTTAATAAACTATGTAATGCTATGCAGCAACGTCCCTTTTTCAGAAGCTAATAGATGCTCAAGCAGTCAGGAAATTCCCTGCTGTTCATGGAACTCAAAGCATCACTACCATACTCACAGACAGCCTGCCATTGGACTCTATCCTAAGAAAGATTAATTCACTTCACACAACAGGTCTAATCAGTTGTTGATCTATTGTGTCAAAATTTATGCTGATGATCTACAATAATTTCACTTACCTACAGAGTTAAGACGGAGAAAACAACTGTGCATTAAATTCTGTATGTATTCAATAAGCAAGACTTGTCTCTACAATTACTAGCTTGTTTCATCATCCTTTATATAAATAGGCATAATAAAAAAGATTGTGGTCCTTTATACTGTAAAAATCAGTCGCATGTCACTGATTATGAGTTCTTCCATAGCACATATCCCTTGGCCCCTCCCTTTTTCCTTTGCATCCTGTCTATGCCTGGCTACTGCCTGGGGACATTGGTGGATCCCTGTACCCTACATCATGAGCTGATCAAGAATAAGCACTTGTGTTTGTTACCTTTGAAGTTTTAGCATGTGTTCAAACTGATAATACATAAAGCTAGAGTTAGGCAGGATACAAAGGTACTGATTACATCATTAATTATTCATATTCACATCAATTTAACCAAAAATATGTGACTGATAGCTGGCAATTAAACCACGGCACTTAATTTTTTCTAAAAGTTGTCTAAAAGCAAGAATGCATAAATATGCAGGGGAATAAAATTCTGCTTATATAGAACATAAAAAGACGTACCAAAAAAAAATGATTTGATGATAATTAAATACATGAACTCTGTGTCCAATTAACTGACATAATGACAGCGTTCCAAGGGCTATTACACTGTACCTAAATGTAACTACTTGTACAATTCCTTTTTTTTTTTTTCTGTGGTGCTACAGCCCCAATTTGGGCCTAGGCCTACCTCCATGAAACTCCGTTTCACTTCGGTTTACTAGATCTTACACATTCGGTAGGACTCCTTGGGTGAGTGATCAGCTCTCGCTAGGCCTCTACCTGTAGACAAACACAGAAAAACGCACACAAACATCCATGCCCTGAGTGGGATTTGAACCTATGATCCTGGCTTCCGAGCGAGCGAAGAAAACGCATGCCTTAGACCGCTCGGCTACCGTGACTGGCGTACAATTCCCTTACAAACACTAAATTAGAATACATTCAAGAGCAGTCACTGTACATAAGCAATAGTACAACTAATTATGTAAGACCATGCATGAAAGAGATCCACCAATATACAGTACCATTACAAGCTTTCTGAAATAAACAGTCATTAGTTTCTGATCAAATTTGTTCCTTGTACTTTTGAGCATCTTTACTTTGTTGGATACTTTCTTAATAGTATTTTGTATTTATTTGACATATTCAACATCATACATTCATTTTGACTAACTTTGGATCCATGGAATGCAATGCAATGCAATGTTATGTTATGTTAGTGGAGATCTGTTAAATTCTGAGGTGAAGTATAGCTGAATACTTAGATTAGTACTGTTTTTGCAAGACATATCACAGCATTTATAGTGTGTGTGTGTGTGTGAGTGAGTGAGTGAGAGAGAGAGAATATGAGCCTCCACACTTACAAACAAAAAGAAATCTCTGTGGTTTTAGTCAGCAAGTGAACTGTACCAACCGAGTGACCGCCACTTGTCAGCAAAGTTAATGCCAACTTCAATATATAGAGGGTGTCGCATGGTCAGCACAATGAATCCCCACTGCCGTTATTTTCGGTTTTCTAGACCAGAGCCGCTAATTTTCTATTCAAATAGCTCCTCAATTATCCTCATGAGGCTTAGTGGAACAAGTTCCAGACCCACTACTTCTCAGAATATCTGGTAGCGCTGGGAATCGAACCTGGACCTCTGGATCTGTAGCCAAGAACTCTGACCACTAGACCACAGAGGCGACCTCCACACTTACGGCCCATAATATTAATCAGTCAATCAGTGGTTAATAATAGCTCGCAGCTAAGAAGGGAACACACATCACAAGACACGTTTTACACAGAAAATAAGAAAAACGACCCCATAGTGAATGAACCACACGCAAGTTTTAATTAAGACACATAAGGTAACTAATCTTAACAAGTTTTAGTAAGTGTAAATTTATTATAGTTTACAAATACGCACTTTTTAAATACTTTTTAAGTGGTGTTGTGAAGACATATGAGGGCAAGCAATGCAATAGATTAACGTAATTAGGGCACCTGATGATGGCACTATGTTGCCGAAACATGTCGTGAAGTAACAGATGAAATTGAGTGCACTACAAGACGGCCACTGTATACATATCATGGATGAAACTCAGTGCAACAGGATGCTAAAATACAACACTAGAACATGTATTTGATAAATCCCAAAAGTAGCATATGAAAATTTTGTTAGGAGATTTCAATGCTAGAGTAGGGAGGGAAGACGTTTTCAAACCAACATTTGGGAATGAGAGTTTAGATGAAATTTATATTCATAATTGAGTTACATTAGTAAATTCTGCCACAACAAA